CCAAAAAAGAGAAAAAAATTTTAATGTGTATGAGTACTTTGCCTGCATATAAGTGAACCCATATCATGCAATGCCCACAGAGGCCAGAGAGAGCATCAGATTCCCCTGGAACCAGACTTGCAGACAGTTTTTGGAGGTTATGTGATATTGGAAGCCAAACCCAGGTCCTCTGCAAGAGCAGCCAGTGCTCTTAACTGCTGATCCATCTCTCCAGCCCCCAGTTTTATGGTTTTTAAAAAAGATGTATTTATGGTATGTGTATCTGTGGGTGGGTTTGGACTTGTGACCGCTGGTGCCTGCAGAGGCTGCTGAATCCCCTGGACCTGCAGTGACATGTGTTTGTGAGCTGCCTCATCTTGGTGCTGGGAACTGAACTCCCATCTTCTGCAAGAGCAGTATGCACTCTTAACTGCTAAACTTTCTCTCCTGCCCCTGCTTCTATGTTAATCCAGCCCCATGGATGTACCTCCCTATTGACTGTTGGTTTGCTGGAATGAAGGCTCCTGGGGGACCAGGAAGAGCCACTTTTCCTTCTAAGAATGTCATGGTGTCACCTTGCTATTTAAGGATTTTACTTCTCTCTTCCTCCCCTCACCCATATTGATCCAGATGTGTTTCCAGAACCTTCTTAAACCTCTTTCTTTCTCTCTTATTTTTCCCTGCATAAGGACCGAGGAAGCAGAGGGCATTTTGGATCCCCAGGAGTCAGAAAAATTAAGCTTTAATGAGAAGTGTACTTGGAGCCCACTACTGACCCAGCTCTGGGCAACGGCAGTTTTCGGGTCCCTCTCAGGTTAGGAGATACCAGAATCTAGCATAGCCTGCCTGCCTCCCTGCCTGCCTGCCTCCCTGCCTGCCTGCCTGCCTGGGTGGGATTTGCTATTGGGTCACAGTGGGCACTAGTGCTTCTGGGATGGTAGCTTAGGCAACCAATGATGTTAGAAGCAGGTTGCTGAGTGGGGCCAAGGCTCTGGGCCAGCTCTTTCCTATTCCTATTTCCAGACTGACCTTCTCTGGTTGGGTGTAGGATTAATCTTGTTCCTTTAAATTATGTCCTCCTTACATCTTGGATTAATTTATTGGAAACCTCTGGTTTCTCTTTAAGAAAGCAGATGACATTCACCCAGAGGGCATCTGGGCCTGCATTGAGGCTGCCTGGGTGTGCTTTACCCACTTAACAAACAGTGGCTTAGATGTTATAGTGGGGTAGCACATACCAATAAACCCAGCAGCTAAGGCAGGAACACTGCAAATTCAAGGTCAGCTACATATCTACATATTTGAAACCTTGTCTTCAGAACAAGAGAACAACAAAACATTGACCAATGCTAACTGTGGGCCTGGCCCTTTGCTAGATGCTGGGGCCTCAGAGGTGAACCTGAATAGCTCTCCAGGAATATTTATTTGTTTGTTTGTTTATTTATTATTTGTATGAATGTTTTACCTGCATGTATGTTTGAGCACCACATGCACACCTGGAGTTACAGGTGATTGTAAACTGCTATGTGGGTGTTAGGAACTGAACCCAAGTCCTCTGCAAGACCAGCAAGTGCTCTTAACAGCTGAGCCATCTCTCCAGTCCCATTAAAATTTGTTTTTACAAGCTTGTCTGCTCTAGAGTCTAGTATCAGATGATGCCTTGATTTATCTATCAGTACTTTGTTTAGTTAACTTTTAAAAACTCCTTATCTCATGCTTCCTAGTTCCAGGGCTCTGTCCTCAAGATGTTAGATCTAGAAGGTGCCAATAGGATCAACTAGAAAGTTGTATGACTTGTCCTAGATATGGAAATACTAGAATACTGGGTCTTCATGTGACTTTACCACCCACTCAGTATGGAAACTTGGGCAACTCACTTCTCTTTTCTGGGCCTTATTTCTATCAGAGTTTACAGATGAGGATTCTAGACTAATAATTACTATTATCCTGGCTATACTTATTCGGCACTTTTATGCTAAGCATTAACATGTATTATTTCATTTCATTCTTATGACCACCCTGTGATAAGTTCTATTTGGTCCCTATTTTATAGATGAAGAAACTGAGACTCAGAGAGAATAAATGGCTTGTCTGAGGTCTCACTGCTAGTGAATGGCAAGGAAGCTCTTGGCTACCTGGTGGGACCAGGTTAGGGCTGGGATGGGGGAAGGACCCTGGACAACCCTGAGAATTCTTTCTAGCAGGCATGGAAGAGGTGCGCATCAACCAAAGGACTGTCAGCCCCTTGCTGCGTTTATCAGATGATCAAAGGACCCTGACCTTCAATGCTAAGAAGTCCAAGGCCTGCTCTGATGACCCAGAGCGCTTTGACCACTGGCCCAATGCCCTGGCTATCACCTCCTTCCAGGCTGGGCTCCATGTCTGGGTGGTGAATGTCCAGAATAGTTGTGCTTATAAAGTGGGTGTGGCCTCAGCCCAGCTGCCCCGTAAGGGTTCTGGCAGTGACTGCCGCCTGGGCCACAATGCCTTCTCCTGGGTCTTCTCCCGTTATGATCAACAGTTCTGCTTCTCACACAATGGGCAGCACGAGCCTCTGGGGCTCCTTCGGTGCCCAGCCCAGCTAGGTGTGCTGCTGGACCTGCAGGCTGGAGAACTGCTGTTCTATGAGCCTGCCTCGGGGATGGTGCTCTACGCCTGCCACACGTCCTTCCCTGGGCCTCTCTTCCCAGTCTTCGCTGTAGCCGACCAGACTATTTCCATCGTCCACTGACCTCTTGCCACAGGGAGGTAGCTCTACCTCCCCATCACCATTACAAGTCAGGCCATGTTTCCAGCTGTATCCTTTCCCTCAATGATGTGTATGATGTTCCCATGAGATTCAGGATCCATGCCCTAATGGGCAGCTTTTGGAGCAATGGGGGATGTGTTTCAGACCTGGGCAGTAATCTTTAGATGTTGGGCATCTGTGGGGAACCTATTCCTCTCTTGGCCTTAGTCTCTCAAACCCACCACGTTTGTGCCTTCCCTTAAGGATCTCATTAACCTTTGTTCCTGGCATCCAGTGTGGTTGTGCCTGATGCTTATCTAGTAAACAGTGATCATTTGGTGAGAGAGCAACTGTATGAACAGGCAGGTGACAGAGTGCTGTGGCAGTTCCTAAAGAAGAACTTCAGCCCCCCGCTTCCTGCACCTAAAAGCACTTTTCAACAGAACAGCCTGTGGCAGAAGACTTCATTTCCTCTCAGTCCAGTGCTTAGTCTTTTCATGACACAGCACGTAGAGAAAAGATTTTTCTAGTACTCAAGGGACAAACTGCCAGGGTGCTCAGCCAGAAAAATGGCCTGGGAGTGCTGTGCCCTTCCCCCCGGGTTCTGCCTTGGCAGGGGGATCCTATCTCCAGGAAATCTCCTATCTCCAGGAGCTCTAACCTGGGCCTGCCTGTGATAAGGGCCATAAACTTTCCCCCTCACTGCACTGATAAGCGCCCCAGCCCTCTCAAAGTGGAGACTTGGACTGAAAGCTTCAGTCTAGAAGAGCTGAGGGAGAAAGAGGGCTAACCTTAGGGAATATGAGTGTTATTAAAGGTTTTTTTCAAGACTTAAAGATGTCTGCCCTGCTTTGTTGGTAACTGGCTCTATACTGCATGGTAGCTTAGGCACAAGGCTCAGAAATAAGTGTGTGGTGGCTCTGCATAGCAAAAAGAGCCTGAAGACTACTGGAACCAAGGACAAGCCCCTTCATGGGAGGACTCCATGAAGAATTCAGATTTCTAACACTCTTCCAAAGCAGCCTTCCCAAGGCCAGGGATCCAGCTCATCGGCAAGTTCATCTGCCTAACATGCAAGAAGTCCTGGGTTCAACCCTCAGCACTGCAAACCGAAAACCAAACCCTTACAAACCCAAACAGCCCGCTATCTTTGGGAGCCACAGAGTGGTTTGAAGACCAATGCTTAATCAGGGGAGGTCACAAAGTCAGGCTAGCTGGGAGGCAGGGTGGTGGGGACATCAGTGGACACTGAGTGAAGCTGTCCAACATTTTGAGCAATCATTTCTCTGCTTCAGCCATGCATAGCATGCAGAAATGTGGTCCCAGGATGACTAGGAGGGAAGAATTGAAAAATCCCAATCTTTACATGAAATCTCAATATCTATATATCTCTGTCTTTTCCCTCCCCCCTCATAGTGCTAGGGATGGAACCAGGGCCTTGTACATGCTAGGAAAGCACTTTCTCCCTGAGACACATTCTCATTTTGTATGAAGTCAGTCTTTCCTCTTTTTATTTATGTGTATGTGGGTTTGTATGGGTGGGTACATGAGCATGTTCAGGTACATATAGGTGCAAGTGTGTGGAGAACAGAGGACAACCTCAGGTGTCTTCTTTAGAAATGCTGTTCCTTCTTTTGAGACAAGGTCTCTCACTGGCCTGAAGCTTACCAATTAGACTAGACTGATGGGCCAGAGTGAACCCCAAGGGTCTGCCTGTTTCTGCCTTTCCAGTGCTGGGATTACAAGTATGTACCACCATGCTTAACGTTTTTAAAGTGAGTTCTGGGATCAAACTCAGGTCCTCATACTTGCTAGACAAGCATTTTACGAGTGAGCTGTCTTCCCAGATCCTTTTGTTTTTTATCTTTAAATTGATTATTGTTATTAGTGTATGTGTGATGTAGAGGGTACATACATGCCATAATATACATTTGGAGGTCAGAGGACAACTTTGTAGAGTTGATTCTCTCCTTCCAACTTTACAGTTGGAAGTTTTAGGGGTTGAACTTAGATCATCAGGCATTGCAGCAAGTAGTTTTTACCTGTGGAGCCATCTTGTAGCCCCCTCCCCCTTTTTTTGAAATGCTGTTTAGCACTGGGCTGTTACAGCATTTACATTTTTCACATTTATTCATTTGTGTGTGTGCAGGTGCATGTGCACCATGGCATGCATGTGAAAGTCAGAGAATATCTTTCAGGAGTCAGTTTTCTCCTTATACCATGTGGGTTTCAGGGATCAAACTTATCAGGGTTGCCAGCAAGAGCCTTTATCTGCTGAACCATCTCACCAACCACTCTTTTTGGTTTTGTTTTGAAAGATTTGTTTTATGTGTATGAGTGTGTTGCCTGCATGTAGTATAAGTGCATGCAGTCGTGTGGAGGTCAGAAGAGGGTATCAGATCCATTGGAACAGAAGTTAAGGACAGTTGTGACTCAGCATGTGGGTACTGGAGATGGAACCCAGGTCCTCTGCAAGAGCAGCAAGTACTTTTAACCACTGAGACATCTTTCCAGCCCCAATCTTTTTGTTTTGTTTAAAACAGAATCTTACATATCTTAACCTGGCCTCAAACTGTCTCTGTAGAGGATGAACTCCTGATCCTCCTGCCTCCACCTCCAAAAGCTGGGGTTACAGGCATGTGCTACCATGTGTATAGGTGAAATTTGTTAGGTTTGCTCAGTGATTTACTCAAAACACTGCTCAGATCAGATCCATAGGCCTATTAGCAACTCTTTTGTTGAGATGATATCTGAGGCCCTTGCAGCTCAGACCACAGCTTTTGACCCAGGTTTACCATCTGACACGTGTATTAATGGCTTGAGGAAGACAGACCTAGAAAGGTTTGGTCAACTTGAAGAGCTCTTCCCTGCCTTTGTCTGGGCATAGCCCCTGCCCACAATCTAGATCAAAACCAGCTTCTCCCACCAGTAAGTGAAGGCCCCATGCCATGTTCTGCCAGCCACCAACTCAGATGCCCATAGCAGCCTTCATACTACAGTTCTTGGGCTTGCTGCAAACATGTTCCCTTATCCCCTGCCCATCCAGATGCAACTCCAACCCCATTCCCAGGTCAGGGTCTCCTTCAAAGTCCTCACTGACTGGTGGCACCAGAACATACACACTTGTGCCTGTCTATGCTTATAACCTATGATATATCCTGTGCCCAGCACTGGGCAAGGCACAGAGGTGTCCAGTAAACAGCAGGTACAAGTCAGCAGTGTTCCTTTTCAGGACTAATTGTGGTGTCCTGCCTGAAATCTGATCAGACAGTGTCCCTATAGCCCAGCCTAGCACCGTCATTTTCAAACTAATCTCTGATCCCAGCATTCCAAGGTGGTGGGTGTGGGTGTCTCTCAGGACTGAATAAGAGGTTTAGGATTTCTGTTCAACTGTTCTGGGCCTAATTGATCTTGTGTTTCGCATTATGGGGGTTCAAACCTCTGATAACAAAAAGACCTTGCTGCAGAAACAGCATTTGAAAGTATTGGCTTTTAGTGTGTGTGTGTGTGTGTGTGTGTGTGTGTGTGTGTGTGTGTGTGTGTGTCTACAATTTGAACCAGGGGGCTCAGAAGTTAGGCAAGTCCTATACCACTGAGCTTAATCTCTAGCTTGTGAAAATGTCTAGTTGTTGCTGAATGCTGTGGCTCACACCTGTAATCCTAGCATTCAAGAGGCTGAGGCAGGAGGATCACAGAGTAAGTTCTATGTCAACCTGGACTAGAGTGAGATTCTACCTCAGAAAGTCAACAAATACCTGGCTGTGAAGTAGAAAGACCATCCATGGATGTATGTGCAGGTGGCAGGGATTCATGATAGGAAAGGGACATGGAGCTGGTTAGAAAGTTCATTGGGTAACAACACTTGCGGCGTAAACCTGAGTTCAATCACCGGAACCTATGTAAAGGTGAAAGGAGAAAACCAATTCCACAAAGTTGTCCTCTGACTTCCACACACATGCCATGGCACATGTGTCCATACATCATACACACACACCTGCCTCCCCCCACCTAATAATAAATAGAGACACATTGTGAATGAGAATGGTTAGCTCAGACTGGAACTGGGTGGTGAGGCAAGGCTGCCGCCAGCCCTCACTGCTTTATAGTCAGAACAGGTTATGGAGGCTGCAGAGGAAGAGAAGGGACCCCACCTCCAGTGTTTATCTGGTCCTAGCCACTTTCCTCAGCAGACTCATGACTGTGGGCTTGAGACCTCCAGAAGGTCAAGGGCAGGCAGGAGATGCGACAAGGAGGGGAGAATATGTTCTTTAGGTACAGAATTCCTGACTGATGAGTCCAGAGGCTCTGCACCTACCAGAAAGCTATGCATGCCCACAGCACGAGCCCCCTGGTAATCACAGAGGTAACTGTCTCCAATGTGAGCTGCCACTGCAGGTTCCACACGAGCAAGCCTCAAGGCCTCACAGAAAATTCGGGGGTCTGGTTTAGGACAGCCCATAGCTTCAGAAGTCAAAACAAAATCAAAATATTCCCTCAGGCCAAGGCCCATCAAGATCTCTTCCAGCCTAGAGTCAAAGTTAGAGATCACTGCCAACCTGAGACCCCGCTTAAGGCACCCCTTCAGGGTGGTCTCAGCCCCCTCCAACACCTGCCAGGAGCAGGGGCTTCTGAGGTCATCATATAGCTGGTAAGCGATGGGGGTCACTGCCTGGGTATCCTGGATCCCTGCCAGGTGAAAGGTCTGCAGGACCAAATCTATCCACCACTGGCGGGAGGTGAGGCCATGGCTCAAGCCATAGTTGGGGAATCTGTGGCTCTGAGCCCTGTATGCCTGCCTGAAGGCTTGTTCCAGGGCTGTGGCCTCCACCACCAGCCCATGGATCTGTGCTTTAGTGGCATATTCCTCTCCCACAGAGCGGCGGAGCTTGAGCAGTGTGTCCTTCACATCCCATGTCAATAGACGTAACTTCAACCGATGAGCCATGGACATCAAATCTACCCCAGGTCCAAGAGTCAAAGGAGATACCGAGCTGGGACAGGCCACCCCTTACAAGCTAACAGTGGCAGCTTTCCACCTGGGTCAGAGTAGAAGGTTGATATACAGTTCTTTGGAAACGTCTTCACAGCACAAGATCCTGGAATGAGAAACAGCAGGTGAAGTGGAGGCCGAAGCCTTAATATCAGAGAGACTAGATCCACATTCTGATGGACCAAGTATGTGACCTGAGGAGTTACTTTTATTTATTTTTTTTATTATCATTATTTTTTGTGTATGAGTGTTTTGCCTGCATGTAGTAAGTGCATCTATGTTGTGCAATGCCTTCGAAAGTCAAAAGAGGGGTGTCCAAGCCCCTGGAAATGGAGTTCCAGACAGTTGTAAGCTGCCATGTGGGTGCTGGGTATGGGGAGACTGCGCTCTCTCTGGGCGCAGGGTGCGCTCACTCCCTGTGGATCCGCAGACTGCTCTGGGAAGCGCAGACTGCTCTGGGAAGCACGGTGGATCCGCAGACTTCTCTGGGAAGCTGCGGCTCAGGGGAGCGGCGGGTGCCCTGCAGGCTTTCCCCGTGGCTCGCCCCGTATCTCTGGAGCTTCCTCTGCTACTGAAGCATTGTCCAGCCGGAATCCCGTCTCAACCCGTGTACTCTTCCTCAGGATGCGAGGCTCCTGGCCACTGAGCCACGCAGGGAACGAGTACGGAGACAGCGAAAACTAGTGTGTCCGTGGGTTGGTAACGGAGAGTGCTGCCCTCCGGGGGAATCACGTCGCCCGGCTCAGTCTGTGCTTACAGCTTTATTCTCTCTGGGACCAAATCTCTGGGACCCAGTCTCTGACCTCATCTCCCGTGCCCAATCTCCCGGTCCCAATCTCCGACTATTAAGAGAAGACTAGTATATTTATACCATGGGGGTTAGTGGTAAAAAGCTTTGGCTTTTAGATGCTTTGTGAGACATTCTATTTACATGTTGAAGTGGATTTCTGCCACACTGCTAGACTGCTGGCCGCCTGGAAAAATCACGGAAGGCATGGTCTGCTTAGAGCCAGAGGCCATGTTTATGTTATGGCATTTGTGGCGGCCACTTCAAAAGGAGAGTCAGGAAAGATGTCAGGAAGACATCTTGCTATGAAAGGAGCCCGCAGCACATAACCCGAGCTGCATGAGCTGTCCTGTGTGAAGGGGCTTCCACTTTGCATAACAGAGATCTCCCAACAGCTGGGAATCGAACCTGTACAAGAGCAGCCAGTGCTCTTAACTGCTGAGTCACCTCTCCAGCCCAGAAGCTACTCATTGAATTCTGTGAATCTCATGTGTAAGAGAGGAACGAGGGCACCAAACTTCAGAAGGTCTTGGGCTAGGACTGGAGTTGTAACTCAGTAGGTAGAGTAATTGACTTGCACGTACAAAGCCTTGGATTCAGTCCCCAGTACTGAATATACCAAGCATGGTGGGATACACCTAAAATCCCAGTACTCAGGAGGTAGAGGCAAGAGGATCCGGAGTTCAAGGTTGCTGTGGGCTACATAAGTCAGACCAGCCAGTGTTTCATGAGACCCTGTCTTAAAAAAACTCAACAAAGATCTTAGGCTAAATAAGATCATTCATTCATTTATTCCAAAGCAAATTTCTGAGCACCTTATGAGCCAGTTGCTGGGGAACGAGACAGGTTTCCAGCTGTCATGGCATTTTTAGGTGTTAAAGAATAAGAGATTCTGGGGCTGGAGAAACAGCTCAGCAGTTAAGAGTACTGGCTGCTCTTGTAGAAGATCCAGGTCCAGATACCAGCACCCAAATGAAGGCTAACAAGTACCTATAACTCCAGTTCCAGGTCCATGGGATCTGACATGCTCTTCTGACCTCCATGGGCACCGCATGACATGGTGCACTTACATACATGCAGGCTATACACTCATACACATAAAAAATTTAAAAAGCGTGAAAGAGATTCTTTGTAGATAAAGAACTACACAAACAAGTGTAATTTCAGTATGCAACAGGAGACTATAAATGCAGGGGCCCAATCTAGTCTTTGAACTCTGGGAATTTCCTAAACAGGTGAAATTCCGTAGAGATCTGAGGAAAAAAAAAAGCATGCAGGAAGTAGAGATAGCAAATACAGAGGCCTTGAGGCTGGGCAAAGTCTGTGCTCTGGAAGCCTTGAGGTCAAAGTCAGGGAGCAATTGGGATTGCTTCTCCTGAGATCATTTTTTTTTCTTCTTCTTCTCTTAATCTTCATGTTTAAGCCCATATTAAAATATCTTTTTCTTTTCCTTCTTTTTCTTTTTTCTTTTTTTTTTAAAAGGCAGTCTCTCTGTAGCCCCAGCTGTCCTAGAACTCCCAATGTAGACCAGGCTGGCCTCCATCTCACAGAGATGCCTGCCCCGCCTCCATCTCACAGAGATCCGCCTGCCTCTGACTCCCAAGTGCTGGGACTAAAGGCCTGCACCACCAAACCCAGCTAGAACTGGAGATTTTATTAAAGATATTTTATCCAGGTGCATTGGCAGAAGCAGGAGGATCTGCGTGAGATGCAGGCCAGCCTGGTCTACATAGGGAATTCCAGGCCAACTGGAGATACAGGAGGACCCTGTCTCAAAAAAAAAAAAAACCCTGAAAAGCAAAACAAACAATAACAACAACAAAACACCTCTAACACTGCTTCATTAAAAACAATTATTATAAGCTGTGTGTGGTGGCTCAACCTTTAATCCCAGCATTCGGGAGGCAGAGGCAGGCAGATCTCTGTGAGTTCAAGGCCAGCCTGGTCTACATAGAGAGTTCTAGATCAGCTGGGGCTACAGGAAGAACCTGTCTCAAAAAGACAAAAAAACCAAACCTATGCCATCTGTATGCTGCTATGTTCTTAGAACATGGCTATGAACTTATGTATAGTCAACTCCATAATTTTAAAACAAAAAACCAATTATCTAGTCATGTCAAAAGATAGAAACAGCTCAGCTGAGCGTGGTGGCACACACCTTTAATCCCAGCACTTGGGAGGCAGAGGCAGGTGGATCTCTGTGAGTTCAAGGCCAGCCTGGTCTATATAGTGAGTTCCAGGACAGCTGGGGCTACAGGGAGACCCTCTCTCAAAAAGACCAAAAAAAAAAAAAAAAGACTTGCAGATTCTGACCAACAGCATGGCTGCTGAGAGGTGAAGACTGAGGCAAAGAGGAACAATTACTCACCTAAGGTTAGTGAGCCAGCCACAGCCTGGATTAGAACCCAAATGCCTAGACTCCACTAGGGTTCCCTTCCTTCCACTGAACTGCACGTACACATATTTAGAGTTTTTTTGGTGGGGTGGGGGGTGTTCTTTTTTGAGACTGGCTCTCCCTGTAGCCTCAGCTGTCCTGGAACTCACTATGTAGACCAGGCAGGCCTTGAACTCTGTCCGGGAACTCACTATGTAGACCAGGCAGACCTTGAACTCACAGAGAGCCCAAGTGCTGGGATTAAAGGCGTGCACCACCACACCCGGCACATATTTAGATTTTTAAAAAATGGATTATGGTGAGCCTGTTCAGCCTGGGACAGCAGGACAGCCTATGCCTGCCTGTCTCCAAGCTGCAGCCTCTCCATCCTTCAGTTCCTGCAGTTAATAACATCTGCCAGGGAGGCCAGCTCCAGTACGATACTGATCCACCCCAATGCCCAGGAAGTCAGTAGCCTCATGGAGCATCTCTCCCCAGACAGAGCTGACTGCAGACAAGCCTGTCCCTTTGAACCTGAGAGGCCAGAGGTTGGGGTGGGGGCGGGAGGGGGGACGGTGCATTTAGAGTGCAGCTACAACAGGTGCACACAGGGGTGAATGGGGGATGGGGAAGGGACACGCCTTAGAAGTGTGACAAAGAGGTGGATTTAAGTCCACCTTGAAACTCCTTCAAAGGGTCTTTCTTCGAGCAGGTGGGTAGACTGAGGCCCAGCCAGGCAGACTGTGTATTCCTGGCTTTGATACACCGAGAACAGCCAGAACAAAGGCTATAGTAGTGTTGGGGGCTAGGCTGCAGGCCAGACCGGCTCCCGACTGGGTAGCTCAGCGGAGCACAGTCCTGGTGGCCTGGTGGTAACGCACCATCCTGTGCAGCGGGACCGGCCAGGAGGCTCCAGACACCCCTTCTCGGATGCACCGAGCTCCCAGCACTCGGCACTAACCCAGACCCAGCACGCACCTGGCTCGGGGATGGCGACCCTCAAGGAAGAAGCAGCTCCACCGGCTCCACTGAGGCTCCCAGTGGCTCGCGACAGGGACCGGCCACAGCTCGCCCCGCTCTCCTCTCCTACCCTGAACTCCGCCCCTCACTGGTCACCCGCCCGGGCCGCGGAGCTCCGCCCTCCTCCTTCCTTCCCCAAGCCCGCACCCTCTCTACTCCTTTCTGCACGCCTCCCTTTGCCACCCCGCCTCTCAAGGTCACCGGATCACGTGGTGTTCCTCACTACCCCCACCCCACCCCGGTCCTCCCCACCACCCTAGTAGTCTCTCTGCTTCTCGATCTCCAGGCCTCTATCTGTCCTCTTTGCAGTTGCCAACGCAAAAACACAACTCTGACTTCAAAGGGGATAAGAGCTACTTTATTCTGGAGATAAATATGAGTGACCATAGTTCAGAAAAAAAGAGTGTTTTATTTAAATTGTTTTTATTTTATATGTTATGAGTGTTTTGCCTGCATCCATGGGTGCAATGCCCACGGAGACTTGAAGAGGGGTTGGATTCCCTGGAATTGGAATTAGAGTTATTAGCCACCATGTGAGTGCTGAACCCCGGTCCCCCTGCAAGAGGAGCCAGTGTTCTTAAGCACTGAGCTATCTCTTCAGCTCCCCAAAACACAGATTTAAGTAACCTAAAATTCCATGTTGCAACGTGGAAGCAATTTAATGAAGTTTGGTTTTGTGTTTGTGTGTGGTGAGGCGTATTTTGTTTTTCGTTTGAGACAGGATCTGCCTGTAGCCCCAGTTGGCCTGGAACTGGATATGTAAACCAGCCTGGCCTAGAACTCACAGATATGCCTCCTGAGTACTGGGATTTAAGGCTGGTCCCCAAACCCAGCATTTAAGTTTTATAGTAACAGAACAAAGAAAGTCATAAATCTTTTCAAATACTCTGGTGGAAACAGAGTTGCGTTTCAGTAAATCAGAGAAACCTCTAATACAGTAAGAAATATTAGATATTAGTCTTTCAAACCCTGTAAAACTTGGGACTTGGAAAGAAATTCTCATCTCTTAATCACACCACACCCTAAAAAACTTTTGCATTCCTGAGCCTTAAGGCCTAGAGTATTGGAGGTCTTCTCCCTTCACTCCAATTCTTTTAAACTAGCCAACCAGAAAAGATTGTGACGTTGGACCCCAGCCAATGGGGAAAAGACACAGTTCTCTTACATTAGGGATAAAGGGCCCCAAGCTTCTGGGTGCTGTATGTACTTGTTGGACCTGACTGACCACACAAGTCACCCTTTTGCAAAACTAAAAAAATCTCTCTTGCCAAGTTACTTTCACTTGTCTGTATGTCCTTTGTGTGATATAGATGGGGGTCCTTGAGCCTGGGATTTTATTTCTAACAATGGGCCTGAGATGCTATCTGATGACGCTCTTAGCTTTTTGGATGGTGAAAGCTAGTGGCTCTACCAAGCTAATTAATTTCCAAGGAAAACTAGTGCTCTGTACATTCCAAATGGTCACCTAATGGTCGCAAAGGATGTTAGATCTTGTACAGAGGAAGGCAACAAATGACTATCAAGGGGTCTAAAGATGGGCCAGAATAATTTGGCTCTGGACTTGCAACATTCCAAATGCTTCACAATCACTGAAGTTCAAATCAGTTAACCAGCTTTGCAGAAGTTTCCATTTGAAGATGCAACTTCTCTTTGGGAACCTTCATTCACAGTTCCCCCAGTTGGCCAAGAATCACAATTTTGTGCATTCAGAGCTACATATTATCTAGTAAATATGATTAATGTCCCACATTGCTAGAAAACACTTCCTAGGAACTGATGTAGATGAGGCTGGGTAGCAGGCAGGAAGAACAGTCTTCAGGAGACAGGAATAGGGTAAGGCCAATACAGAAGAAACTCCTGGATCACATCAAAGCTATGAGCCATCATGACTGGATCAAACTTTTTTTCCTCTTCCTCTGTATCTGACATAACATTTACATGTGACATATAATAGGATTATTATATGTAAAATTAAAATAATCAAGAATCTTGCTTGGCCTGATGGAGTAACAGATGAAGGAAACATGCATCTTAAACAACCAAAATTTACATTAAAAATTAGGTTGACTGGGCTGGAGAGATGGCTCAGCACCCACCTGATGGCTAAAAATTGTCATAACTCCAGTTCCAGGGGAATTCGACGCCCTCTTCTGACCTCCATGGACATTGCACAACACAGGTACACATATACATGCAGGTAATACATTCACACATATAAAATTAAAAAATAATAAAATTTAAAAATAGATTTTAAAAATATTTTATTATTTTTGTGTGTATGCATGTATTGCCTGCATGTATGTAAGTGCATCCATGTCATACAATGCCTGTGGAGGACAGAAGAGGCTGTCAGATCCCCTGGAACTGGAGTTATGGACAGTTGTTAGCTGCCATGTGGGTTCTGGGATTCAAACCAGGGTCTTCTGCAAGAACAACCAGTGTTCTTAACCACTGAGCCATCTCTCCATCCCCCAAAACTAGATTTTTAAAAATCAAAATTATACTGAATAATGAGGAATATATATATTTCTTTTTACAAAAAGTGAAAACATTTGAATCTTTAAACATGAAAACTTCAGTAAGGTTGTGGTGTGGGTAAGTAAACAATCAAATAAAAAACATGATTAATGAAAAGAAATAATATCCTTATTTATAACTTCATTAAAACCAAGATTATCATTATTTTATCAATTAAGATATATGCCAAGTGAAATATTAAATATCAGAAAAAATTTAAATATCTAAGTATAAAAGGGTTTAAGAAACATAAAAGGGAGGCTGGAGAGATGGTTCAGCACTGACTCTCTTCTAGAGAACCTGGTTTTGGTTCCCAGCACCACATAGTGGCTAACCAGGGGATCTGACACTCTCTTCTGGCCTCTGTGTATATCACATGCACATAGTACACTTATATTCATACAGGCAAAATATTCATACACATAAAATACAAATAAACACAAAAAAATTTTTTAAAAGACATAAAAAGCAGGGGCTGGAGAGACGACTCAGCGGTTAAGAGCACTGGTTGCTCTTGCAGAGGACCAGGGTTTGATTCCCAGCACCCACATGGCAGCTACGAACTGTCCTTAACTCCAATTCCAGGGGAATCCAACACCCTCTTCTGACCTCTGCAGCGTTGCACGGCATGGGTGCACTCATATACATGCAGGCAATACACTCATACACATAAAATAAAAATAATAAATAAAATATTATAAAAAGTGAGATAATGCTTCCATTACTTGGGGTACTCAGTTGTCAATGTACTTGAAGATAAGTATCATCCAGCATCTTTGACCTCTGCATGGATGTGTTCTCAAATGGAGCTGGCATGTGTTTGCTGTGAGAAATGTGAATTCAAAAATTCATCTCCTAGCCAGGCGTGGTGATCCATGCCTTTAATCCCAGCACTTGGGAGGCAGAGGCAGGCGGATCTTTGTGAGGCCAGCCTGGTCTACATAGAGAGTTCCAGCACAGCTGGGGCTACAAGGAGACCCTGTCTCAAAAAGACAAAAAAAAAAATTTCATCTCCTAGCCGGGTGTGGTGGCGCATGCCTTTAATCGCAGCACTCAGGAGGCAGAGGCAGGCGGATCTCTGTGAGTTCAAGGTCAGCCTGGTCTACATAGTGAGTTCCAGGACAGCTGGGGGTACAGGGAGACCCTGTCTCAAAAAGACCAAAAAAAAAAAAAATCATCTCCTTGAGTCTCATAGTACAGGAGCACACTAAAAATACCTGGATACAGTCTTTTTCCTTTAGTCAGAATGGAGTCTTTGATGTTATGCCTTTTTTCTTTCAGTTGATGAAATGATCTGGTTTCCTTCATCCTTTGAGGAAGTCTCTGTAACTAATTCCAAGTTTGTTTTTTTTTTTGCCTTCTTTTTTGAGACAGGGTCTCCGTGTAGACTCACTATGTAGACCAGGCTGGCCTTGAATTCACAGAGATCCGCCTGCCTCTGCCTCCTGAGTGCTGGGACTAAAGGTGTGCACCACCACGCCTGGCCCCAAAATTATTTTGGTTATCATATTTAAAATTCTTAGTTATAAGCCATTTTCTCTGCAAACATTACAAAGAATTGATCAATGTCAGGTGATGCAGGCCTTTAAACTCTGCTCTTGGGAGGCAGAGGCAGGCAGATCTCTGTGAGATTGAGGTCAGCATGGTTTACACAGTAAATTCCAGGCCAACTGGGTCTTCAGGGAGACCCTGTCTCAAAAAAAACAAAAAAGAAAGAAAGAAAAAAGAGGATCAATACTTAAGAAAACCTCCTAATTGTTAGATGAACATGATAACCACTATACTACAAAAATCCATAGAAAACCTCATAACTGTAAACAGAGAATCAAGTGTTAAATTTATACCTAAGGGTACTGAATTTTGACCTTAAAATAACCTTCATATTATAATCAGTATAGTTATAACCATCTACTTTAATTTTCACAATCTTTCTTGTCCTAGTTACTTTCTATTGCAGTGATAAAACACTAACCAAAACCAACTTGGGGAGGAAAGGGTTTATTTCATCTTGCTCTTCCAAGTGACAGCCCATCACTGAGGGAAGTCAGGGGAGGAGCTCAAGCAGGAACTAGAAGGCAGGAACTAAAGCGGAGGACAGGGAGAAGTGCTGCTCACAGGCTTGTTTCTCCAGCTTGCTCAGCTACTTTTCCTATATAGCCCAGGCCCACCTGCCCAGGGATGATGGCACTGCCCACAGATTATGATAGGCACTTTAGAATTGTTTTTAAATATTTTATTATTTTTATTTTGTGTATGAGTGTATTGCCTGCATGTATGTGCGTGCACCCGTGTTGTGCAATGCCTCGGAGGTCAGAAGGCGGCTTCGGATTCCCCTGAAGTTAAGGATGGTCTTGTGGGTCATGTGGGTGCTGGGAACAGAACCAGAGTCCTCTGCAAGAGCAGTCAGTGCTCTTAACCACTGAGCCATCTCTCCAGCCCCTCGTTTGTTGTTTTTAATGGCTGTAGCAGAAATTAGTTCTACTGTTCCCTATTCTTACCAGGTACCATCTATCTTTTCAACATTAGGATTCTGATAGATTTATATGACAACTCCTTGCTCCCTATCTCCTTGGTACTCATGCATTTGATTTTGAAACAGTTCTTGCTACATTGCCTAGGATGACCTTGAACTCAGGATTCTCCTGCCTCAGCCTTAAAAAATATACTGTGCTTGTCTGATGTATGTGTATGGGGGGGGAGCATGCTGAGATCAGAGGACAGCTTTGTAAAGTTGGATCTCTCCTTCCACCTTTGTGTGGGTTCCAGGGATCAAACTCAGTTTGTCATGCTTTTGTGGCAAGTGTCTTTGCCCACTGAGCCATCTTGTCAATCCCTGTCTCAGCCTTCTAAGTAGTTGGAACTACTGGTGTGCAACATGATACCTGGGTGTGATTTTTTTTTTTTTTTCAGGTGATGAGATTAACCCAGAGCCTGGCCCATGCTAGACAAGTGCTCTACCACCCAGGTTTATTTCCAACTCCTGGCTGTGATTTTAATTTCTCCAAAAACTAATGACAGAAACTTTCATATTAATTGGCCAAGTTTTCATCTATTTCTATTTATGCAACTATATGTTAACATAGCTGTTACACAGTCCATGAATAAAGATAATACATGTAAAGCTAAACAAAGTTCCTCTAAATTGTCCCTCCCCCTGGCCACCCTTTCCCAGTTTTTTTTTGTTACTGTTGTTTTTTGTAGCCCCAGCTGGCTTGGAACTCCCTATGAAGACCAGGCTGGCCTCAGTCTTACAGAGATCCACCTGCCTCTGCTTCCTGTGTGCTAGGATGCTAGGACTAAAGATGTATGCTACCGTGCCTAGCCTTCTTTCCCAGTTTTTAGCTCAGGTCTTGAGGTTAGTAGGAGACTCTAATCCAAGTCTTGATCTGCACTGGGTTTGGACAGTGCTCTTAAACATTGATCCATCTCTGTTCCCTTAAAGAATCTTTAACTAGGGAAGAAGTTTGCTTTTTGCTGAGCCCTCCTGGCCCAGAACAGCACACAAAACCACAAACTTACTATCAACCTCAGGCCACATGTTGTTTCGCAACATTTATTTTGGACTATCTGTGGCTTCCAAGGCTTCTTTCTGTTCTTGTGCCTCCCTCCACCCCGACACTGTATGCTCATGTACGACACTATTCTGGGCCAGGGGCAAGGAAGGGTCATGAGAGAGGAATAGGGAATATAGGTTAAGAGTAAAGCTATGTGTTTAAGGTGGGCATGGTGGCCCAAACCTTTAATCCAAGTCTGGGGCTATAGGGAGACCTATCTCAAAAAAAGGGCTATGTTGCTTAGTTTATAAAAATTGATTACTTGGGGAGTCCAAGGCCTAGTAAGATTGTTTACATTGTTTTCCTAAAGGCTAAATTTAAACAAGTTGATTGTTTAGGAAGGCAGATTGAATAGTGTTAAATGATTTCAAAGCATATAATTAACTTTAGGTAAAAGTTCCATTTGTAACAGAAGGCATTTAAAGAAGTCATTCCCACACCCTGGACAAGTGCTGATCTTACAGGCCTCTGCCACCACATCCAGCTCAGGCTACTACTGAAGAAAAGGAACAAGGCAGGGGCTGAGACAAAGCCTACTTGCACTGTGAAACTGATATATCAGCCTTAGCTGGCTTAGAGAAGTAAATCTTTTATTATTGTGGTGTTGTGGAGGGGGCATACAAGTACCATGGTGCACATGTGGAGGTCAGAGAGTACAGCATTTGGAAATTGGTTCTCTCCATCCAATGGGGGCGTTCCATGGATTGACTCAGGTCATTAGGCTCAAGTGGCAAGCACTTTTTTGCTGGGCCATCTCACCAGCCCTGAGAAGTAAATCTCTTAAAGTACTGTTATCTGGCTTTTGTTATCTGATTCTAATACATAGGAGAGTTTGGAGAGGTTGTTGGATCAGAATGTGGCATGTTAGCTGAGTTCTTTTTTTTGGACAAAGTCTCCCTAGTCCCAGCCTGCCTGGAAGTCACTATGTGGACCAGGCTGGACTCAGCCTCTGGAGGGCTGGGATAAAAGGCACATGCTACCATGCCTGCCTGTACATAAGTGTGATGCCGGAGGAAGCCAGAAGAGTGTCAGATTCCCTGGAACTGGCATTACAGACAGTTGTTAGCTACCAAGTGGGTGCTGGGAATCAAATCTGGGTCCTCTGCAAGAGTAGCCAGTGACATTAACCACTGGGCCACCTCTTTAGCCCTCTTAGCAACATAGAGGAAACATCCATACAGATTTAGGGTAAAAGCATTCCAGCAAAGATGACCACTGATGCAAAAGCTGAGGTCTTGCCAGCCTTCCCTGTAATGAAGGTGGGTCAACCATGTTATCTCTCTCCAGTTTATAGTGAGCCAGATGGTGGGGCCCTATCACAGATCTCTAGAGTTGTTCCAGTAGGGATGGGACAGGATACACCTTTCTCTGTGATTACAGATCTTGGAGTCAACCATGTTATCTCTCTCCAGTTTATAGTGAGCCAGATGGTGGGGCCCTGTCACAAATCTCTAGAGAGTTGTTCCAGTAGGGATGGGACAGGATACACCTTTCTCTGTAATTACAGATCTTGGGGGCCATTTCAACAATTATGGGGATCACACTGTTACTGGCTGGGAAGGCTCACTTGGTAATAAAGCCAAGGCCAAGAGATTAACGCTAGAAAGGAACAGAAACCTCCACAAGGCCTTGGACCTTGGGACACAGCAGACCTTATCAAGATCCTAGCATGAAACCAGTGAGTTTCTCTTTCTGTTGGGGCTGTTCAGCCATTCACAACAGAGAGCACCCAGAACCACCAAGCGCCTGGCCCACTGTCAATCACAGGCCTTACTGTGTGGGACAAGGAGTAGGAAACTGGTGGTCTCTACTACTAGGGAGTGGCTGATTAAAATGCCTCTCAAATGGGCAAGCTACAGCCCAAGTTGGCACATCTGAGAGGGGAACAAGAAAAACAAGTCTGAGAGGCCCTGGATGCTCACCATCTAGCTCAGATGCCTGGAAGTCATCAGACCTTGCCAGATTGTGAAAACCTAGTACTTTATTCAGGACAGAATTACTACTGGGCCACACAACAGTCTCTCTGAGGGGTGCAGAGCCACAGGACAACCACGACCCTTCTAGCTGATTCCCAGTCTGTTTCTATTATTTTCTTAATGATCTCACTCTACAGCCTGGGTTGGTTTTGAATTTGTAGCACTCCTGCCTCAACAACCTTCTAAGTGCAGAGGCTACAGGTACAAGCCATCACATCTGGCCTGTTAGTGCTTTGCACATAAAAACGTTGTGGGCTGCTGCCATCAGGTGGAAACCTCAGGTGACAAATCTTGGCTCCAGAGGTATTACCCACATAGATGGAGATGCCTGAAGGAAAATGGGCTCCTGGACCTCCTCCCATATCAAAGCTAATTCCACATGGTGTTATGCCCATACTTTACCTTCTGCATACTGGGAAGCATAACGCATGGTTAAAGGCAGAGGCTGTGGAAATTAGTTCACAATTCCAGGGCTGGTTTTCTGTTGCTGTGGAAAGTTCTGCCACTAACTTGACTTGTCTTGGTTAGAGCCATCACCTCTCTAGATGGACCTTTGTCATTGCAAAGCACCCCAAGCTAAATTTAGCACTCTTGGTCCACCCTAAACCTGTTCTCCCCTAGGATTCTTAGTAGCTGGTCCACCTGCTACCCAGTCCAGGCAAGTTCATCCCTCCTGCCTAATTTATCCCCTATTTACATCCTAAATCCATCTCTTCTCCATCCCCATGGTCACTCTAGGCCACACAAATACCTCATCTGCACCTTGGCAAAGCTACCAAGACGGTCTGAGAAAATTCAGATTAGATAGTGTTATTTACCTGCTAACATCCTCTACACGTCTTCCTTCCATCTTGGAATAAAGCTGGAAAAGGCTAATGTGGCATTTGAGCCCCTGCATGTTTTGGCCCTGGTTGGAGACTATTTTTAGGCCTTTTTAAAAAATTGTTTTTATTTTATGTATGAGTGTTTTACTGGTGTGTAAGTGCATCAAGTCTATGTGATACCCACAGAGGCCAGAAAAGGACATCAGATCCCTTGGAGCTGGAGTTACAAGAGTTGTTAGCTGCCATGTGGGTACTGGGAACTGAACCTGGGTCCTCTGCAAGAACAGTCATCTAGCCCCTAGGTTACCTGTTCTTGTACTGTTTTGCCCCAACCATACCAACCTTGTGCTCATTCAGCTCCCTTTTAGCCCTGGGCCTTTGCACAATGGTTCCTTCTCTATGAAATGCTCTTGAGTAACCCTCCCTCAGTTTGGTAACTTATCTAAACTAGCTAGTCCTCCAGGAAATATTTTCTGATCCTTCAAAGCAGGTCAAGACCTGGTGGCCTTCACACTTGCCATCCTGTCTGTTCACTCTTTGCCATGTACTCTTGGACACACATTTGTTTGCAACCTCTGGATCATTTGCTCCTGCAGGGCTACATGTCTCGCAGTTCTTCGTACTGGCCTGGCAGTGATGGGCCCGAGATGGCCTAGAAAAACCCCTTTCCACACTAACCACTTTAACCAGAAAACAGCTCAGGGACTGTGAAACTGGAGGTCTAGACACCAAGACAGAAAGTTTCTGCTACAGTCTACCCCTGGCCCAGTAATGGCTTCTCAAATTAGCTCTTAACAAAAGCCACCAAGTACTGAAAGTGATCAATCTGACTGCAGGAGCTGTCAGCTTATAATGCCAATCCTACATTAAAAAAAAAGATGGTAGTGCTTTATTCTGAACTGGCTTTGATGCCAGAGTAGGGACTTCATCTCTGAAGAACCTGCAAACCAGTTCTTTCATTTGAGGTAAAGAGGTGAGGTCCCTGTGTCATGTATCAGAAGAATGAAACAAAACCAGTTAGGCAGCAACATTGTTTCCCTTGTTCCCCTAGCCTGCCCCCCCCCTCCCCATTCAAAGCACTGGCAAAATCTCTCATTTTGTCTCCAAAATGTTTCCTCAAGGGCTAGAAGTATAGCTCAGTGGCAGAGTGCCTGCCTGGAGGGAAGAGGCCATGGGTTTAATGCCCAGCAGTGCAAAACCAACTAAAACAAAACACTCCAAATCTTTAAGATGGCTGCCCACCAGATGCAAAATAAAACCTAAGGTCTGTGCCAGGTGTGGGAGCTCCCCTTTCCAACCTCTAGTGCACCTTCCTCTTCCTTCCCTACCTCCAAACCTGTCAAGCTCCTCCCACTGAAGGCTCTCTGAAAATGTCTCCTGGCCCCTTTTGAAGACATTTCCTTGTCCCTCTGGGGTCTCACTTCAGGGACAGCTTCTCTGCCTTAGACCCTTTTTCTTCCTAAACATTATCACAACTTGAACTGCTTTGTTTGTTGTCTTATCTGTCTCCCCACTTTTCTCTGTGCATAAATTTTTACAGAGAAAGCTTCAACTTGTTTCTGCTGTGTCCACATCGCCCTGGGCACAGAGCAGAGGGTCTCAAGAATTGTCTTGTGAATAAAAAGCCATTTTGGTGACGGCATCTCATATAGCCAGAAACTCCTGTTTCTGGATTTTGATCTTCATTAATGAGTAAGTCTTCTTTGGGGTCAAGGTCCAACTGCTCTTCTCTTGGACCAACGACCCAAGCCTGTGCCTAGCATTCTTGGATCCTGCTAAGCTGAAGCAACACCTTAGGAAAGTGCTGTGGGCAGAGGTCAGCCTCCAGGCTGAGCCAGGGTGGGGAGCTTGGAGGGTCTGGGAGGATGCAGCTGTGAGTGGTGCAAGTTTAGCATGCTGGCAGAAACCACCCAGGCACTGCACCCACAAGCACGTGGGCAGGAAGAGGGCACAGGGCACAGTTCTAACAGCAGCATTTACTTTGGCTTTCACTTCTCCAAGGCCTAGGGAGCTTTGTCAAGATCAAGTTCTCTAGTCCAACATACTTTCCAATCACTCCTTCAGCCACTGTAACAGCTGGGGTGTGTAGTAGGTGATGATAATATCAGCACCTGTGCAGAGAGAAACAGGGGAGGGATGTGGTATCAGCGCTCAGCATATCTGGGAAATGAAAGACAGGTGGGGAAGGACTACCATGAACAGGTACAGCCCAGTGCCACAGACTAGGACAGCCTGGCTGCCTTTGGGTCCAGATATTGAATAAGTCATTTTCTTTCTTTCTGCCCATGTGTGAAATGTGCAGAGGGAGGAGTGAGCAATTGCAAGCTCTCACCCCCTGCTGGTCTGGGGAAGTCAAAGCAGATGAGATTAGACTACAGGTACACCACTCCTAGCCGAGGTCCTTTCACTCCTTGCCAAGTCACCCTGAGGATCTGGGAAGGACTGACCCATTCTAGATCTCAGTCTCCCCATAGGTCTTGGTATAAAGCTAGAGCACTCAATTTACTTCCTGTTTGTATAGACCTTTCTAGTGAGTGGGATCAGGCAGGTCTGCAGTGAAATCCATCCCTGTTCCTGGAGCTAGAGTCCACCCTGATGATCTCCACGGTGTATATACTAACAAAATCTGTTCCCTTGGGCTGGAGAGATAGCTTGGTGGTTAAGGGCACTGGCTGCTTTTGCAGAAGACCTGGGTTTAGTTTCCAGCACCCACATAGTGGCCAACAACCATCTGTAACTCCAGTTCCAGGGGCTCTGATGTCCTCTTCTGGCATCCATGGGCACCAGGCATGTGTGTGGTTCATGTACATACATGCAGGCAAAACATGCATACACATTAAGATTTTTAAAACTAAAAAATTTTTTTTCATTTATTTAGTTTTATGTGTCTGAGTGTTGTGGTGCATGCAATCCCCGAGGAAGCCAGAAAAGGGCGCCGGATCCTCTGGAACTGGTATTAGAATAGTTGTTAGCTGCCATATGGGTACTGAGAATGGATCCTAGGTTCCCTGCATAGCCAGTGCCCTCAACTACTGAGTCATCTCTCCAGCCCCTTAAAAAATTCTTAGGCCAGCCAGGCATGGTGGCACACACCTTTAGTCTCAGCATTCGGGAGGCAGGCAGGCAGATCTCTGTGAGTTAGAGGCCAGCCTGGTCTACATAGTGAGTTCCAGGCCAGCTGGGGCTAACAAGAGAGACCCTGTCTCAAAAAGACAAAAAAAAAAATTTTTTTTTCCTTAGGCCAGCCAGGGATGAAAGAAGGAATGAGAAAGAAAGAAGAAAATGTCAAAACTAACCACCCCCCCCAAACAACAACAAAGCAAAACCAAACCCTGCTCCCATTGTTAGAGCACTAAGAAGACCCTGTATATATCATTTGCTCCTCAGGAAAACCATGCACTGGGTATCCTATCTCTAGTTTATGGACAGGGACCCTGAGACTGACAGAAGCAGCTTGCCCAAGTTCTCACAACCAAAAAGCTATGAGGGCCCTGTTTCCTTCACTGCTGTGCATTTTATTCTGCCCTTCCATATCCTCTCCTCTACCTGAGTCTACTTAGAGACTAGGACTTCCAAGCAAAGAGTCCAGGCCTTTCATGACTCTGCTCTCTGACTGGGGCAAAGTGCCCATCGGGCCTTGTGGCCTAGGTCACAAACCCTGCCCCTGCTTACCGGCTCTGCGGAAGGCTGTCATGGCCTCCAGTACAGCAGTCTTGAGATCAAAGGCCCCAGCCTGGGCTCCGTGCCACAGCATGGAGAACTCTCCGGACACATGGTATACTGCAAGGGGGAGCTCTGGGTACTGCAGAGAATCGGTGAAGGATACATGGGTTCAAGTGACTGTTCCTTCCTCCCTGACCAGTCTGTGACTATTCTGGGCCCCAATCTGAGACACTGCTGTTGACAGCCCAGCTCATTCAGGAACTGTTAGAGAAGAACAAGTTGGTCCCTAGGCAGGCATGGGAGATGAGGAACAGGGGCACACTGCTTCTGGCTCACAGATTCCAAGGCCCCTCTACCTAGGGTCCCAGCACAGGGGATAAATCTCCCACCTTCCTCTGTGCTCACCTTGTCCTTTACCTCCCGCACTATGTCCAGGTAGGGCAATCCAGGCTTCACCATGAGCATGTCGGCTCCTTCCCGAACATCCCGGTCCTAGGGAGGAGGGTAAAGTGTGGTTAGTTCCTGGGACAGGGACAGGCCTGGCCAAGTAGTTATGGCATTCAAGTTCTGGTTACTCACCACTGCACGGAGGGCCAGGCCCCGGGCTCCAGGTGGCAGCTGGTAGCAACGGCGGTCTCCAAAAGCTGGGCTTGACTGAGCTGCATCCCTGCAAAAGAGCAATGCAACGCTGGGCTCCAGCTCAGGGCTAATGGGTCCGGGATTTAACAGACCACTGCTGGTACTACTCACCGGAAAGGTCCATAGAAACAGGAAGCAAATTTGGCACTATAGCTCATCACTGAGACCTAAGGGGAGACAATGGGGTCCAGGGTAAGTCAACCCTTTCCAGGTTCCCAGGATGATAGAACTGGGAAAGTGCCTCAGCTAGGAAGCAAAGGGTCTATAGTCCAGCCTATTTGAGCACTAGGCCTTAATTTCTCTATCTGAGGTGTAGAGGTCATCCATTGTTGCCTTTAATTCTGTGATTCTGTGTTTGTTCATGTGTGGATGCATGTGTGTGCATATGCATGTGGAGCTCAGAGGATAGCCTCAGTGTCATTCCTCAGGTGCCTTCTACCTTTTGTTTGAGACAGGGTCTCTTTACTGGCCTAGAACTCTGCCAAGAAGGGTAGGCTGCTAGCTGGTCAGCGAGCTCCAGCACTAGTATTACAAGCGCATACCACGTCTGGCTTTTTAGGTGGAATCTGAATTCAGGTCCTCACACTTGCGAGGCAAGCACTTTACTGAGAGCCATCTTCCCATCTGCCCATCCCCACTTCTCAACGTATATGGGGGCAGGGCTAACCCAGGCTCTCTCTTCTCATCCCCACACTCGCTCTCTGCCCTCAGTCCATACCCTGTTACCAAGTCCGTGTGCTAGAAGGGCAGCCTTGATGGCCTCCACACGTCCATCCATCATGTCTGACGGGGCTACTACCTGACATCCTGAGGAGCAAAGGGTGGCCTTCAGAACTCAGGGTCTCTCCTGCCCACGATGCCACCTCCTTGTCCCTGCTGAGGCTCACTCACCTGCCTTGGCATAGGCCAGTGCCACCTCTGCTAGCCGCTGGCGGCTTTCCTCAGCCAGCAATGTTCCATTCTCACGCAGGAGTCCTGGGGGACAAGATGGCTGGGCTTGGGGGTGCACTTCGGGACCTAGCCTCCGCCTACCATGGAAGAAAGCTGGGCTTGGGTGACAGCAGGACTAGTGGGAAGGGGAGCTCACCACAGTGACCATGGGAGGTGTAGGGGCACAGGCAGACGTCACAGGCCACCAGGAGGTTGGGGAAGGTCTTTCTCAACAGACGGATAGCCTCAATAGCTGGGGACTCCTCAGAGTCAGCTGCAGAGCCTCGCTCGTCCTAAAGGTAAGGGAAGGACAAAGTGTTGTGTTTGTTAAAGATGATTTTTAGAAGGCATGGTGGTCACCACTGAAGCACAGCCTTGGCCCTCTCCTTTCATCCCACTGCAGCTTCAAGATGAGAACTGGTCCCATTTGCAGAGGACAGTAAAGCTTAGAGACGGGGCCTGACTCACTCAGTCAGGATGTCACCCTACTTATTTGCTTTCTGACCCTGGGTCAAAGGCAGGGAACATGGCCATTTGCCTGTGGCCCCAAAGCCAGCACAAGGCAGAGCAAGAATGTAGTGAGTGTGTAACCTCAGTCCTTCCTCACCCAGTCAGTCTCCTCCCTCCCTCCCTCCTTAGATGTGTATACACAGGTTCATGTGTAGATGGAGGTAAAAGTCAACATTGAGTATCTTCCTCAACTATTCCTCACCTTCTAATTTGAGACAGGGCCTCTCACAAACCTAGAACTCAACAATCAGCCAGACTGGTCAGCCAGCAAGCTGCAGGGATCCTTGGGTCTCTGTCTCACTCACACTCACCCTGAGATTACAGGCATGCACTGCTATGCCTACATTTTTCATGTGAGTTCTAGGGATTGGACTTAGGTCTTCAAGCTTAAGCAGCAAGCACTTTATCAATTATGCCATCTCCTCAGCCCTCACCCTCCCTTAACTCTTCCTCCCATTCAGCACCTTGGGAACACTGCTGGGGACACCAAAGACCAGGACACAGCACAGGCCCTTTTCTACCAGGGGTCTCAGCATTTCTTCCAGACGGTTCACACCATACCTAGGAGGAGGTCAAAGGATGGACTGAGTGGGAAAGATCCCTTATCCAGCCTTTCTACCCCTTCACACTGTGCTTTTATTAGGAGACAAGGTGCACCAGGTGTAGTGGCGTTAAGCCTTTAGTCCCAGAACTTGGGAGACAGAGGCAGGCCGATCTCTGAGTTTGAGGCCAGCCTGGTCTACATAGTGAGTTCCATCCCAGCAGGGTACAGGAAGACCCTGTCTTAAAAAAAAAAAAAAAAAAAAAAAAAAAAAGAGAGGGGGGGGAGAGAAAGAAGTTGCGGGGCCAGGGATGCGGCTTAGGGGTAAAACACTTGCCTACGATCTGCGAGGCCCTTGGTTCAATCTCCAGTGAAGAGCAAAGCTGTGCATTTATCAAGAGGGTACAAGCCCCATTCCAGGGCCAGGCAGGCACAAAGCCACCAAAGAGGTAGGCAAACCAAGCCCCACACAGAAGAGCTAAGGAAAATCTCCAGTGAAGAGCAAAGCTGTGCATTTATCAAGAGGGTACAAGCCCCACTCCAGGGCCAGGCAGGCACATAGCCACCAAAGAGGTAGGCAAACCAAGCCCCACACAGAAGAGCTAAGGAATTAGCTGTGGTAGATTCTAACTCAAATCCTATCCCAAGTTTGACTCTCATCTGCAGTAGCTTCTGCTATGGCGCTCCTGGTGATGGGATGGATATTTACTTATTACTTTATGAGAGTGCCTTGTCTATGGGCCAACAGCTTCAGTCCCTAGGAAACCCTTCTCCCTCTGAGCTATACTTGGGATCTGCTATGTACTGGGCCTGCTTCTGCTTCCTGGCACCTCCATCCATGAAATCTCTCCTTTCACCATCTCATTGCCACTCCCGAGTCTCCTACCTGGCCACTCCTGGGAGGCTGGTGATGGGCTGGACATCATCAGGAGCATCCCTGCAAGAGTTGGGGGAGGGGCTATGGATTGGTGGCTTGTAGGCAGGGCCAGTGGTAAGGGTGACAGGGAGGGAGGGATGGCTGGAAAGCTGGGAAGGGAGAGCGGAAAGGAGATGGAGGGAGGGGATGGGATCCTGTGTCTGGCTCCCATGCCTGGCCAAGCCCAGGGCCTGAAATAACAGGAACAAGAATGACAGTGACAATAAGAGCAACTATACTACAACATCAGCAATCACAGGAAGGACTTGGACTCTGAAGTCAGAAGATCCTTGTGTCCTGCCCTACGTACTTTCTGACTGAGTGACGTTGGCCAGGCTGTAGCATCTCTTTCAGCCTGGGGCGCTTCACCTGGATCATGAGTAGATTCACTCAACAAAACCTTTCTGTACACTTATATGTACTAGGTACTGTTCTAGGCACTAAAGACATAAAGAGTGAACGAAAGAGACAAAAACCCCTGCCCTCGTGAGTGCATTCTTGGGGGATGATATCTGCTCCTTCCTCGTGTGACCATAAAAACTGAAGGAGATAATGTATGCATGTATGCACAGTACCTGGAACACACTCTCTAAGTATCTGCTGGTGCTACTGCTAACAAGGATAACTGCTTGGCCACTATTAACAATCACTTCTTCCATAGCAGTAGCAGTCTACCCAGCTACTTTCTCTACTTCTGTTTTATTTCAACTTAGAATGGCAAAGGTAGGGCTGGAGATATGGCTCAGTAGCTAAGAGCACTGACTGCTCTTGCAGAGGACCCGGGTTCAATTCCCAGCACCCACAGCTAACAACTGTGGGTTGCTAACAACTTGACATGACAGCTAACAACTAACTGCAACTCCAGTTCCAGGGGATCCGATGGCTTCTTCTGACCCCTGCAGGCATTGCACAACATGGGTGCACTTATACACATGCAGGCAATAACACTCATACACATAAAATAAAAATAATAAAATATTTAAAAAAAAGAATGGCAAAGGTAATTCTTATTTTACAAATGGGGTGACTGAGCTCTTCTTAGGGATTTGTGTTGTTAATAAGACTACTGTTCTTAACCTCATAGGCCACTTCCAAAACCTTGCTTCCAGTTGATAGCCCATTTTAAACCCTTTCTTTCCCCCAGCAATACTGACACCTGCTCCAGTCATACATGTGAAGCTTGGCCCATTCCTGGGGACTCACGTGACAAAGATGGGGTAGATGAGGTTGGAGGCACTGAGGGTGGTGGCAGTGGTCTGCCAGGTCCGAAGCAGTGGGTGGAAGTAGCCACTGTGCAGAACAGACTGGTGTTGCATGGTGTGGGCCAGCTGGGTACAAGGCAGTCAGATGGTTGGAATCTAGGTTCTTGGGGTGTGTGCTGCAGGCTTCACTCTGTAGGGTTAGTAGGAGGCATATGAAACATGGTTCCCGTGCCCAGGAAATGGTCACATCAAGAAGACAGCCCTTTCAGGTTCCTGCCTCCCGTCTCTAGTCTCTGGTACTTAGGGTGTGGTTCCCCAATCATTGCCTGTCCAGGATGAGGTAAGGAAGGGATATCTTTAGAGGGTTCAGAGGAATTTCAATTTAACGGTAGAACATTTGAGCTGTAGTTTCCATAACTGCTAGTTTAAAAAAAAAAATTCTGGGCTGGAGAGCTGGCTCAGCAGTTAAGAGCACCTGCCATTTTTGCAGAGGACCTGGGTGCAGTTTCCAACACCTACATGGTGGTTAACAACCACTCATGACTCCAGTTCCAGGGGATCTAATGCCCTCTCCTGGCCCCCATGGGCATTGCATGCACATTGTATGTATGGTGCACTTAGATACATTCAAGCAAAACACTCATACACATAAAATTAAAAAACAAACATTTTTCTATTAACTTATTTTTATTGTATCCTAGCAAAGAATCAGTGGACTGGAAATAAAGAAGAAAAACAGAACTAAATGTTCCCTGTGTGTACTTTGAGAAGCACTGGTCTGTATGACATTTAAGCTTCATTTATTCCATGAAAAATGTCCATTCAGATTTCAATGTCCAATGTTTGTGGTCCTGGGATTGAACGTAGGGCTCTGCACACGGCAGGCACGTCTCCAATGACTAAGCTATAACCTCGGCTTGCTTTGCTTTCTGTTTCTTTGACACAGGTTTTTGGCTTTTGTTTGCCTGCCTCTATTGCCACTGTAATCCCTCAGTGCTGGGATTATAGGCGTGTGTGACCACACCTGGATTACTTGGTGCTGGGGATTGAGCCCAGAGCTTTGTGCAAGCACTCTACTGAGCTATATCCCCAGCCCACCTGCTACCCCCTTTCCCCAGAAGGCCCTCACTTTGCACAGCTTTCCCCATCCTGCTGGGGCCTCCCTCTTTCCCAGTCCACAATCCCTTTTATATAATAGTTCTTTGTGGCACCGCCTTATCTCTTGATAGTAGACAGAGCCTCTGCAGGGCACTATATATGGTGAGTTCATTTTTGCCTCCTCTCCCACAGTCCTCACACAGGCAAATATTACACTGCATCAAGGACAATATTGTATGCCAAGTAAGTGAGAGAAGAGAGAAGGAAGTCTGGGTGCCACCTTTGTTTCAGGAGTACCTACTGTGTGTCAGGTCACACTGGCACCCTCACAGGGGCCTTCTGGAGGCATAGGCCAGCTGCCGCTTCTGCTTTCTGGGAAGCAGGCTAATGGGTGCATTACAGAGCTAGGCAGCCCAGGCCCACACGAGCCATGCATAGTCCCAGAGTTAGGAGGGCAGAGGTGCTAGTGGAAGATTGGGTTTGAGCTCCATTCTGCAGGATGTGTGCAGTTGTGTGGCAGGGACAAAGTGAAAGTGCTCCCTCAGGAAGGGAAGAAAGGTGACCAAGGATGATTTGTGGACTGTTTCAAGACCCTGTGGTGGTTGTGGGGGGTGAGGGATGGGGATAAAATGGACCAGACTGAGTCAGGGAAGAGTTCTGAGCTGTGAATAGGACACTGGCCTGAACAGAGTTCAATTTTAAGAGAAATCCTGTGGCTGAGTAGACAGGAAGCAGAGGAGCACAGGAGCTGCCAGAGGCCAGAGACAGGGACAGGACAGGAAGAGGGGGTGGGAAGTAGGGCTGGACAGCTAGCTCCATTTTAGACATTTCCTTTTGGAGGTACCTTTTGGCTCCTGAGCAGCCAAAAAGGAGAAAAAAGAAAAACAGAGAGTGGGGGCTGGTGGGCAGAGTCCCATTGCTCCTTGTATAAATGGGATTGCAAGGACCAGAGGGGGTGGCTACTTACCCAAGTCCCACAGCAAGTTAGGAGTGAAAACAAGATTAGCACCCTGGGGACTCCTTCAGTGTGCCTGTGCAGTGTTTCTGTTCTCCATCCCCTTCAGCCCCCTCCCAACCAGCTCAGGGGCCCATCTTATCCTGTCTTCCTCCTTGGTGGAGTTGGGGTTATCAGGGGCCACATAAGGACCAACCCTATCACCACACCTCTGGGTGGGCCAGCCTCAACACATGACGCGGGGCGGGGGGGCTTTGCAGAGATGGCTCAACCACCAAATAATCACTCAACACATATGAGAGTTTGTCTGCCCTCTCTGTAAGATTTGGCTTTCACATCTGCCAAGAGTTAGTTCAGAGGCATAAAGTTGCTTGCCCCAAACCACATAGCTGGTGAGTGATGAAGCCAGAATTTGATTTCGTTCTGGATTCCAAATGCAAGGTTTTGTACTTTTTTTTCTTTTTTGTCTTTTTGAGACAGGGTCTCCTTGTAGCCCCAGCTGTCCTGGAACTCATTATGTAGACCAGGCTGGCCTTGAACACACAAAGATCCACCTGCCTCTGCCTCCCGAGTGCTGGGACTATAGGCTTGCGCCACCACGCCCGGCATCAATTTTGTGCTTTTATACACTATGATAAACATTTGATTCCATAGTTATCACTCTGCCCATAATGTCCCTGCTTTGGGCACTAGAGATGAAAGAAACAAATACGCTGAGTCTATTGGGTGCCAGGCACTGAACTTAGTATTTTATATTTTCTCATTTACTTGCAAGACTTGATATAACTTTTAGTGATTGGAAACAGGCTAAGTAAGGGATGTTATAGGACTTGCTCAATGTCATTCTGGATTGAAGTCAGGTTTTTGAGACAGGGCCTCCTTTTATCTCCAGCTGGCCTGGAACTCCCTATGTAGACCAGGCTGGCCTAGAACTCACAGATACCAACCTGCCTCTGCCTCCTGAGTGCTGAGTCCTGGAATCAAAGGCATGTGCCACCAAGCCCAGCTTGAAGTAAAATTTTGAAACCAGGTGGTTTCATTTGCTTTGGAGCAGGTCCTGGCTTCTGAAATGTACACCTGCTTTCCACTGGCCTCACTCCTCATCTCCTCAAAGAGCCTAAGGGTGGTGGCGCACACCTTTAGTCCCAGCGCTTGACGCTTGACTACCAGGAGACCTTGTCTCAAAAAGACCAAAAAAAAAAAAAAAAAGCCTAAGGGAGCAAATGATAGGCCATCTTCTTAGTAGAATGACTTGGAGAGCCACCTAGCCACCTAGGAGCTATCTAAGCTCTACTTCAAGGTACTAAGGAGGTGGGGAGGGAAAGACTAGAGGTATATGGCGGGGGGGCGGTGTTCCTAGAACAATTCCTCTTTTCTTGTGGGATTGAACTCCTGGAGCTTTGTGCTCTATCACAGAGCTACATTCCAGTCAGAGCAGTTCAACTCTGATTTAGGTTTTTATTTTGGGAGTCATAGAGATAAAATTGAGAAAAGGGTGTCAGTGCTAATTTGTTTGGAAAACCACCAATTCCTCACATTTTGATGAGAGAATGGTGTGATGGGAGGCCACAGACCTTGGGATTACAGTGAGTGAGGCAGAGGTAGGAACTGACCCTGAGGTTTCTTCTGACTTCCAGTCAGGAGTCCTATACCACACAAGTCAGTTTGTTACAACAGTTGCTTAATGAATGCCTACAGAGTAGGAAAGGGCCCTGAGTCATTTCAGAACTAATTCTAGATTACAGTTTTGCTTTGAGAGATGTCCTTCAGGGTTTGGAAGATTTTCACACACTGGGAGGGCACGTCTCCCAAATTAAGGGAGTCCTATGTCCCATCTTTATAGGAACACACAACCACGGGATCTGGCTCATCCCCTCCCCTACTTTACAACAAATAGGTTCCCTTTGTTGGCAAGCAGTATAAGGCGGTGCCAAAAGAACTGTTTCAGGGTCAAACATCCCTATGGCTCCTGTTTCTCTCTGTAACTCTGGGCTTGCCAAGGATAGTGACCTTTCAGATCCTCCATTTCAGAATCTACCAAATGGCCTGATAGTATCAAGTCTGTTAGGCTGTGGAGAAGATGAAAGATAATAAAGAGGCATGCCTGACACCACGTAGCAGCAGTTAACAGTGCAGTAACAGTAAATATGTGGGTAATGCTGCACTGGGACTGGTACTCAGTGCATCATACCCAGAGGGAGGAGATTCATTTCACTCTGTGGGTCACAGGTGTTCCAACAAACCCGAGGTGAGAGGGGATAGGGACCCCACCGGCAGTTTGTGTGTTAGATAAGAAGGAAAATAACCACCATATCCCTGCTGGAGAGTCAAGGGGCAGCTTTTCGGAATGAATGTAAGGTCTGGCCTTCCTTATAAGGCACCCCCCCCCCAAACCTCCAGAGTGACAGTTACTATCAGAAGTGTCTGAGAAGGAGCTGCAGGGCCTGAGTTCCCAGGTTGTGCCCCGGGGAGGATTCCAGAGGCTGTGCTCTTGGCATAGAGAGTAGAGAGTGGCTGCCAGCTCTAGCAGGCTCTGCAAGGGCAGGGGAGGAGGCATGTCAGGACGGCCAGCTAGGTACAAGGTCCAGGGCTAGGAAATCTAAAGCTCAGGAAGGCTCAGAAAGGCAGCTCTGAAAAGGTCCAGCCTGGTGGCCTATTTGCATTTCCTGAAAGCTCTCTGCCTGTCACCTGCCACAGGGATTTACAGAAAGAAAAAGAGCCCAGCCTAGTTCACCAGCTTAATCCTCCTGGGTTTAGCTTTTTCAAGCTAAGAGAAGCTGCCTTTCCACAGACTCCTAGAATAACCTGAGGGGCTTCTACAATCACCCAAAGGTAAAACTGAACTCAGAGACGGGCAGATGCTGACTGGGGATCACACTGCAACTCTGCATTAGAACTGGCCTAGAATTCAGGGATCCAGGAGTGCAGCCCGCAATTCTCACCATGACCCTTGACACTAGAAGGGCACAGTTCATGCATTATCTGCACTGCAGAGTTGGGCGTCCAGAGAGCTCCAGGTGAGCGGGCAGGGGGAGGGAGGTAGAATTCTGGCTCTGGACCTGGCCTGATAGTAGCAGGGTAGTTAAGTGTGTGGGCTTTGGGGGCTAAAAGGCATGGGGGAAAATCCTGCTTCCCCTCTGTGACCTCAGTCTTCTCATCTGGTAAATGGCGACTTGAACTCAATGGGTTGTTGTAAGGACTGAGTAAGCCGAAGCAGGCGACGCCTAGCACAAGTGACTCTTACTGTTTCTCCGGGTCCTCCAGCCTGTGACACACGTCGCGCTCTGCAGAAACGGGCAAGGGGTGGAGGAGCCCAGCTTGGAGTCTCCAAGCCTTAATGCTGCAAGACCACGCAGCGGCTACATGCCCGTCCACCCCGGGGTCCACGCGGACGCCTGCGCTTCAGAAGCATAACGCCAGCAGGGATGCACCTCGACTGCTCCCGGAGCCGCCCTCCCAGCGCGCAGCTCCCCAGACCCGCAAGCTCACCTGCTAGACAAAGCGCTCCGCGTTCCACAACACCGTGCCCCGGCCACCGCGGTCTCCCGCTCTAAAAGCCCGAGCCCACGTGGGGGCGGGGCGACTCACCCGGAAGCAGCTCCCCCCATGGCCCGCCCCCAACGGAGTTCAGGCCACGCCCCCTTCTGTCAGGCACTGGACCCGAGGTCCGCTCCCGCGCGGCCCCACCCACGCGTAGTGGGCTCGCGTCCTGGCCAATCCGGAGGTCCTGGGGTGCTGCAGAGCCCGCCCATCGCCCGGTACTCGCTGGCGTAGGGAAGGCTGGGGTATCCACGTGGGCGTCGGGGCTGGGAGGCTCCTGGGCCCGCTTCCTGGGCGGGCACAGCCTGCGATCACCCGAGTTCATTTTGCGGTCTCTTCACAGCCGGGAGCAAAGTTTGGCTCTGGTTCACTGGTGAAAGAACAATGGGATGTCAAGGACATTAAAACCCCTCCGGTGATATCTTACACAATAACTAAGTCTGTTTTCACGGACAGAGCACTTTAAAGTTGTTGAGTTCTGCAGGAGACAGACAAAATTTAATCCAGCGTAATTAATTACTCAGCACCAGGGCTAGAGAGATCTGAGCGGTTAAGAACACTGGTTGTTCTTAACCAGTGGAGACTCGTGTTCGAATCCCAGCACCCACAAGGCAGCTAACAACTGTCCATAACTCCAGTTCCAGGGGATTCCACAGTATCCTCTGTCCTACGCGGGCATTGCACGACATGGATGCACTTACATACATGCATGCAATACACGTATACACATAAAATAAAAACAATAAAATATTTTTAAAAATTAGCGCCTACTCTGTCATGGATTGAGATATATGAAAGACATGGGCACTGAAAAAAAAAAAAAAAAAAACAACCCTCCAGGTCTGATGGAGGCATTGGGACTATGACGGCTGCAGTAAAATCTGACCAAAGATTAGAAAAGAGGCGTCTAGGGAGGTTTGGAGGGCCAGAAAGGAAACAAAGCAGGTGGAAAGGGGCTGGGGTGGAAGGAGGCATGGGGAGTGACTGCTTACTGGGAACAAGGTGATCAAACTATTTTGAAGCTGGAGGTAGATAGTTGTGTAGCATTGTAAATGTTCCATGTATTATCAAATTTTTATTTTAAAAATGGTTAAAATTTACATTCTGTGAATTTCCTCTCAAAAGATAAACAGGTGAAATACTTGACATCTAGGATTTTAAAGTTGTTGGTTTTGATAAATGTACCTTAGGAGTTTGCTAATATGAGGGAAAGTTGGATGAAAGGTATGTAAGAACTCTATATTCTTTTGCTTTGTTGTTGGTTTGGTTTGGTTTGGTCATTTTGAGGTAGAGTCTCCCTGTAGCCCCAGCTGGTCTAGAACTCACTATGTAGACCAGGCTGGCCTCAGTCTCACAGAAATCCACCTGCCTCTGCCTCCTGAATGCTGGGATTAAAAACTTGTGCCATGTCTGGCAAGAACTCTGCGTTCTTTGTAACTTTTCTATAAATCTAAAATTATCCCACTCCTTTATAAAATTTATTAAGACACAACCAGAAGTGAGGCTAAAGGCTATTGGAACATGATCTCAGTATTCATAAACTTGTGCTAAGATCTGAAGTCATTTTTAAAGAGCCCTCTCTTCCCACTAGTTAAAAATAGGGGGCTAAGGTGCAGAAGTAGTCTTGAATGGGTTATGAAAAGAATCCTTCTGCTCCCCAGATCCAGGTTACAATCTCTGGGCATGGAGGGCACTGTTTACAGAGATGAGAAACTGGGGCTGGAGAGATGGCTTAGTGGTTGAGAGCACTGGCTGCTCTTGCAGAGGACCTGGGTTCGATTCCCAGGACCCACATGGTGGCTAATAACTGTCTGTAACTACAGTTCCAGGGGATCCCATGTCCTCTTCTGACCTCCTCGGGCATTCCAGGACATGGGTGGACTTATACACATAAAATAAAAATAATAAATAAAAAATTTTAAAAATAAGAGAGATGAGAAACAATCTACTGGAGAACCTTCAAAAACAGATGCCACAATGGGATGATACAGGTATAGTGGGAAAAACTGATGGATGACCCCAAAGACTCTTTCCAATTGTTGAATTCTTTAGTTTTAAATCAGTCTCCATTCCCAGAAAAGGTTTTTCTTAAAAAGTTAAAAAGTTCTTTAAGGGATAGGGCCGGATGAACTAAGGATATATGAAAAGAGTTCTTTTGGATCCATTTATTTTTGTTGTTGGTTCTGGGCCTTGGATATGCTAGGCGGGTCCTCTGTCACTGAGTGCTATCCATTCTTGACTGAGGCACAAATAGCTTTATGTTGGAGAGTAACAGATTACATGGTATGGTGAGCCTTTCTCACACAGCCCTTGAAAAAGAGGTTTAACTATGGATTTGATTTCATAGGATGCAAAATCATGTTCCAGGAAGATCAATTTGGCAAGTAGTGTACCATGGAAACCAAGATGAGGCCGGAAACTGAGCTCAAAGGAAGTTTCAGGAGCTCAGATGGAACTTGAAGGCTTGGCTCAGCATGGTGCTCATGGGGTTAAGAAAGGATGTTTCTGGGCTGGAGAGATAGATCAGAGGTTAAGAGCATTGACTGCTCTTGCAGAGGACCTGGGTTTGATTCCCAGCACCCACATGGCAGCTAACAACCACCTGTAACTCCAGTTCCAGGGGATCCGATGCCTTCTGACCTCCGAAGGAATTGCACAACACGGGTACATTTACACACATGTAGGAAATACACTCATACGCATAAAAATATTTTTTAAAAAAGGATGTTTCAGCTGGGTGCGGTGGCACACGCTTTTTAAAAAAAATAATTTTTAATAGAATTTTTGTGTATTTCATACATAAAATCATCTTTATACCCCCTTCTCCCTTCCCCTTTGGCACCTCTCTTAGCGCCCCCCCCCACTGAAGTTCATACATTCTGTAATTTGTGTTAAGACCCATTATGTAGTTAGTGTCCTGAGATGTCCCCCAGTGCAAGTTCATCCACAGGGGTTTAGTCAGCCTATCTAGGATTTCTCTTCAAGATCAGCTCTTCCTCACCCAGCAGTAAACAGCTGCCAATAATTTTTTGACTAAAATTGGGACTTGCTATTCATTTGCACAGTTCTGTGCTTGGTTTTTGTCTGCCTAAGTTTGCATAGGTCTTGTGTATGCTGGCACCATCGCTGTAGGTTTGTATGAGAAGGGTCCCAGGCTCCTGTAGGATTATCTCTATATGGTCATGAACCTCCTCCCTGGCTCTTACAATCTTTCCGCACCCCCTCTTTCACAGTGGTCTCTGAGCTCTGGGTGGGTGGACCTCAATATAGGAGACCTGTCCAAGGACCCACACTCTGCCAACTCTTATTCTCTGCATTTTGGCCATTTGTGGCCTTTTGTGTTCCTGGTGCTCTGTTGGATGAGGGAGCTTCAGTGATGAGAATTGAAAGATGTGTTAGTGTTCTCTTTATCCCTTGTTTCTATGTTCCATGAGTCTTAGGTGTAGAGGTTGCATCCTAGATGTGCCACTTAGGCTTGGGCAATTCACAGACAATCTGTGTGTGACCTGTGGTATAACTCTGTAATAATCTCTGTTGAAAAAAAAGCCACTTTGATGGGTGATGACTGGGATACTTGTCTATAAATCTAAGGATTCATATTTTACACATAGTAAGAAATTACATTTATCTAGGGATATGAGAGCCTTAGGCTTTCTCTAAGATCTATGACCTCTTCAGCTATGTGTATTTGGCTAGATTTACAGTACCAGACATGAGCTTCCTCCTATTGAATGGGCTTTAAGTCCAATTAGGTAGCTGTTGATTACCCCCAAGATAAAAGTGTCAGTACTGCACCAATGTTGTTTGCTGTGCTAGTCATTGATGCGATTTTTAGGCCTTGAAGCTGGGGTTGGACCATGGATTGATGTTCTCCCTTAGCAGCTTGCCCAGTGCTTTCCAAAGCTATGAGAGCTGGCCTTCAGGGGAGGTGGCTTCCAGGTTAGTTTCAGCTCCATTGCTCCAAACCCTTTGTCCAAAGGATGTCCTGTCTTCAGCAATAGAGTCTTACATCAAGTTCTGGGAGGCAATCAAGGACTGTGGCAACAGCCTGTGTAACTTTGGGAGTCTCTTGGACTACCCTGGCCAACAACTCAAAGGAAGGTTTCTCCTGCCTGGCACTTTCTTGTCATGTGGTCTTCAGCTAGACTCATGGACTCATGTAGGGATATTGTATGTGTAATTTTTCAATAGGTTTTGGACTAATATAATTCCCTCTGGTTTTTTATACTAGCTAGGCACTATTTATGTCTCCTCTTTTGCTCCATCTTATCCTCCTTCCCCACCCTTCCCATTTAAAGTGTCCCCATTTCTCCCTTGATAATTTCTGTCTGCTATGGTCCCACCTCTTTTGAGCTTTCTTCCCCTTTATTCCCATAGTTTTTTGAATGGTCCCCCTCTCCCCCCTTTATTACACATTTCTCCCTTAGTAATGCATGCCTCCTACTAGTCTTCTCTCTCGGGTTCCTTCTTTCCCTTTACCTCCCTGATTTCCTTCCACTTTCCTGGTTCCTGCAGTTACATCAGGATATGCACTCACTTGTAAGGATTTGGGATACACACTTTTTCTTTTTGGTCTTTTTGAGACAGAGTTAATTAGAAGATAAAAGTTACCATATAATTGTGAACCTGGAATTGACAACTATTAAATATGCTTACTTTTTTTTTTACAATTACCCTTTTTTTGTTTTTTTTCTTTTTGATCTTTTTGAGACAGGGTCTCCCTGTAGTCCCAGCTTTCCTGGAACTCACTATGTAGACAGGCTGGCCTCGAACTCAAAAAGATCTGCCTGCCTCTGCCTCCCAAGTGCTGGGATTAAAGGCGAGCACCACCATGCCCGGCAAGGCACACACTTAATCACAGCACTCAGGAGGCTGAGGCAGGCAGATCTCTGTGAGACTGAGGCCAGCCTGGGTGTACATATCGAATTTCAGTCCTGCTGGGATTACAGAGTGACCCTGCCTCAAATAAAACAAAACAAAAAGGATGTTTTGGCTGTGAAAGAAAAAGCCACTGTCAGGTACACACTGGGGTTCTTCGTGAGGTCTTATCTATTTGACATAGACTTAAAAGCAACTATGGAAGGAAAAGCAATACTGTTTCATAGGGTTTAAGAGTTAATACTTGAAAGCACTTAGAACAATGTTGGACACAGGAAGGGCTTAATAAATGGGAGCTAGTGAGATACACAGGGTAACCAGGAGAGTCACCAAGTGCTGAAGGTGGTGAAGAGTATTGGCTGTGAAGTGGGCAACACCTGCTGGTAAGTCAAGGTGATATAGGATTCCATGATGACCGTCTGGCCCAGTCCATACCCCAAATATCATACGGGGCGTGATCAGTGGGGTCCTTTCCAAAAGCATACTGTATGAGTCATCACTTTAAACAAGAATGTTCTTTATTTGTATAAAGCATTAAAATCTTCTCAACAGTCTTAAGTTGTTTATCAACAAACTTGTCACTGTATTCATTCAACTAGTTAACAGGGTCCAACTATATTATACTACCTGTCAACCTCAAGTGCTCAACTGGGACAAAAAAGTGCTTGGAGCACTAAACAGGGAGAAAACCTAAGGCCAACAGATATTTTAGAAGCAGTGAAAGTGGTGGTGGTGTTGCTGGAGTCCTAAGCACCATTAGATTTCCTTTAAGGTTCAGGTGTTTCACAATTATTTTTAAAAGACACTCGATTAGAACTAAAGAATCCCAGGAAGCTGTGCTTGGGATATCATATAGATGATCCAAGTTCCTGGACTGGCAGATGAAGTAACAGAGACAGTGGGAACAGGAAGCAAGGAGGAGGCTGGAGAGAGACAGGAAGAGAGATGAACAGACAAGAGTTGTGCTTAGAGGAAATAAAGTCTGAACCTTGTCATGAATTACAGCAGCAGTCATAAGTCTGGGAGATGGACTCTAAGGAAAAGCCTGGGATTTTAAACCTTCCAGAAGGTGACACTGAATCAGACAGTGGCAGGCAGTGAGGTACATTTAACTTTATGCCACCTGTTTTTAAGACACTGGCACACTTTCTTGACCTATTCTGATCTACACTGAGAATTTAAGAGCACATCTACTAGGAGCAGTCACCCCAGCAGTGTCTACAGACTATGAAGAAGGGTGGCAAGCCGATGGGTCTAGGAAAAAAAAACCGAAACAACCCAACCAAACAAGTAATGCTACTGTCAAGTGAAGAGATTTCATTATTCTCCCACAGCTTTTTACTAGTTTCCAAAAGCTAAACCATTCTGACCATTAATACCTATTGCTAAATACTGTACAATCAAACAGGGTGACCATGATCAAAGCCCCATTTTTTTTTTTTTTCCTGAGCCTTTAATGCCTCTGTGATCTGGAACACAGCAGGCAACATGGAAGTTATTATTCCTTTTGTGAAAGGGCAGGGAGATAGGGGATCAAAAACTAGCTAGCCACATACCAAAGTAAACAAGCAATAATGACTATCAGTCATTCAGAGTCCCCCATACTAAAAGGTCATAACCTTCAGACTGATTAAGCAAAACAGGATTCTGCTACTCAGATGCTCTGAGTCTGCCAAGAGCTGGTTTGATAATTAGAGTCAGTTTTTATTTTGATCTCAGGCACCTATGCCCAAGACCACTCTGCCTCACAGGGAAAAGCGTCCCATAAAGCATCAGTTGTCTACTTCCTCCTCCTCATTCTGTTCTTCCTCTTCCAGTCTGTCGTCCTCATCATCGTTGTCTTCACCCCTGCTCTTGTCTGGCTCTTCTGAATCTGGTTTCTTGTCTTTGTCTTTCTTCTTTTGCTCAGAGGCTTCTTTTTTGCCTTTCTGTTCCCTCCTGTAGGCTGTAACCGAGCAGGCGATCAGGAGGCAGGAACAGACACTGCTGCAGCAGATGCCATTGTTTAAATAGAAAGGCTGAGTGGGGCACAGGGGAGAACTAACAGGCCCACACCACCAACAGATCTGAGACAGTAGTACTGGGTACACAGGATGGAATCAAGACCAGGAGTACTGGGACCTAATGGCATTCACTCCGCCCCCCCCCGCCCCCCCCAACTGGCCTGGAATTCACTATGTAGAACAGGCTGGCCCCGAACTCGGAGATCTGCCTGCCTCTGCCCTCGGAGTGCTAGGATTAAAGGTGTGCTGCCACCACGCCCAGTTAAAGGCACCCATTCTGAAAACCTCATGATCAAGTAAGTGATCAGGGCATGCAAGATGAATATCTTTCACATGGTTGAGGAATCAGAAGGGCAGATGGATACCTTCCAGAGCTTCTTTCAAGGGGGTAATGAACCGCTGGAACTCCATCTCTTCCATGGCCGAAAGCACATCGCTGGCATTGAGTGTCTTGCGCTTCCCTTTCATCGCGAAGTTGTTAGCACTGTAAGAAGAAACAGCAAAGCCCTTCAGGACCTGTCGGAGTGAATGGGAAAGGAGCACCCAGGGGTAGGCGGGGACAGTCCACTTTCATCTTAGATGCATGGGTTTTGGTGAGACACGGCTCAGTCCGTGCCTTCTCTGCACAAAGGGCCGAGGCAACCTTGTTTAACCTGCTTCAGAACTTTGAAGAACTGGAGGGGGGCTGTGAGTCGCTCTGGACTGGAGCAGGACACGGTTATTGGGGTGTGTAGTTCCAGGCCACGAATTCGGGGCCGGGGGTCTCCCAGCGCCTCCCTCCCGCTCCTGCCCGGCTCACCAGGATGTGGCATACAGCACGAAGACGCTGGCAGCGCGGGAGATGGCGCTCCGGGCCTCCTTGGAGATGTTGACACCGTCCGGGAGCTGAGGGGAGAGCGGAGGTGAACATACAGGCCGGTCCTGCTTCCTTCTTTCCCGCTTGTCCGCCCTCGACCCATTCACCAGCCCGAGCAGCTCACCGCCTCCTTGATGATCCTGGTAATGACGGCATTGGGCAGATTTAGGTCCTCGGGCCTCTCCGCCATCGCCTCCGCTGGGGCCCGAACCTCCTCCGCTTCAGGCCTCCTCTATAGATAGCTACAGCGTCCGGACTTCCCGCGTCGCTACGGTCTGACCCTCCGAGGCTTCCGTCCCACCCCACGTTACCTAGTGTCCTACAGTGCCTCGTGCGCCACAACCTCCCTATGATCCCAGCCCCGCCTCCGCCTTTAGCACCTTTAGTCGGTGTCCTCGAGCTTTACAAGGCGCAGTGGTTTTGACCCACTGGGGCTTCCGTCCGCCTCTACGGTACCCCTGACATTTTTGTCCAGGCTTTTTACTACGGAGTTTTCGCACCAAATTAAGTTTGGCTCATTGAGGTCGCCATCCATTTCCCGTCGTGCCCTGCGCAGCTGCTAGGCAACGGAGCGGAGCGACCCGGTAGCTAGCGGGGGAGGTGAAGGCGTGGACTGAGTGGACTGGGCGGGACCCTTCTAGACACGGTGGGCGGGGCTTCAGTCGAGGTGGGCGGGGCCATGAAGTCTAGCGCCCTCTGCAGCGGGGCATTGTGTTGCATTGTCGTTCCCGCTTTTCGTACTCTAGCGTTTGGAATCTGCTTCGAAGCGGTGGAATGGAGCCCTTTGAAGCGCGAGTCCTCCGTTTCTTTTTCCTTTTTTGGAGTGGAGCTCAGTGGCGTTTTTTTCAATTCTACTGCAGATGTCCATCCCTTAATCTCATTCCCCTCACAACTTTGCAGTAAGCGTACTAAGGATAAGTGTTAGCGAAAACTTTTTTTTTTTTTTTTAATGCGAACTATTTTGCCAGCACAGCGCTAATGCTGATCTTAAGACACGCTAGATGAGATCTCGGAGCTCAGTTTGGGCTGGGCCGGTACTGAAAGGGAGGGAAGCATCTGATTGTAAGAATAATGCAACCTCATATTCCTACTCAACATCCCTCGTGAAAGTTGTATTTCTTTTTAAAATTCATTTATTAACCGTATATATTCCCAATCAAAAGCATTACCCGATTTTCCAGTGGTGTTTGAAGTTGTATTATTTTCACCTTAAGTATCGAGAAATACTTCTACTGAGAATTAATGCTGAGCGTTTATTTATTTATTCATTCGTTCTTGAAACATGTTGGTCCAAGACTTGTTTTCCTGCTTTCGATGGAGACATGATTACAAAGAAAAATTTCCCTACTAGGAGAAAAACAACAGAGCAGATAGGATGATGGATGGTGTTGAAACTGTTTCAATTAGAGATTGTGGGTCTGGTCTGGTGGAAGAACTCTGCACTTAGAACAGGCCTAGTTTAAAGACGTCATAAACTGTTCGGCTCCAGCCGCTAGCTATTTAGCTGGAACTAGGCCCAGTGTTGTCAGACATTTTGATCTCAGGGAGAAGCCAAAAGTCTGGACATTATGGACCATTTCGTTTTAAGATACTGGCTCAATATGCCGTCCAATCTAAATAAGTCATAGGCCAGGTGCAGGCCAATAGTTTCCTATCACTGATTTGAATTATAAGTTGTTTAGAACAGTTTGTGCAGTGTTCTCCATGTCCCCACACAAGACCTCACAAACATTTGGTAGTCAGTAAATGTATTGAACAAAAGAAGACATGGACAGTGCCCTTCAAAAATTGGAGGCTGGAGAGAGACTTAGTGGTTAAGAGCTTTGGCTGCTCTTACAGAGGACGGGGGTTCAGTTTCCAACACCTACATGGCAGTTAACAACGGTCAGTAACTCCAGTTCCAGGGGATCTGACACCCTCTTCTGACCTTTGTGGGCATTGCACAAAATGGGTGCACGTATATACATGCACATAAAGATAAATTTTTAAAAGTTTTGATAAGGGAGCGGGTGAAATGGCTCAGTGAGTAAAAGTGCTCTCTGCCAAGTCTAAGGACCTGAGTTCAGTCTCTGGAACCCACACGGTGGAAGAAAAGAACCCCTTCACATAAGTTGTCCTCTGACCTCCACACATACACTGTGGCACGGATGCCCACAAAACAGAACAAAAAAAGTAACTGAAAATTGTTTAAAAAACTTAATAGGGGGATGAGTGAGCTAGTGCACATCTTTAATCCTAGCACTTAGGGGGCAGGCGATCTCTGTGATTTTGAGGCCAGCCTGGTCTACATAGCAAGTTCCAGGCCAGCCAGGGCTACATCGTGGAGACCTGTCTCAAAAAAAAAGTTAATAGGTATGATAGTGGTAATCATTGTGTAACATCTCTTAAGAGGGGATGATATTTATCTATTTATTTTTGGTCTTTTTTGAGGCAGGGTCTCCCTGTAGCCCCAGCTGTCCTGGAACTCACTATGTAGACCAGGCCCGCCTTGAACTCACAGAGATCCACCTGCCTCTGCCTCCCTCTCTGAGGGGATTAAAGGCGTGCGCCACCACGCCCGGCAATGATATTTATTTTTAATATAGTTTTATTTCTTTTTTGTGTGTATGATGTGTGTACCTGTGTGACTGTGAGTGTGCATGTGTCATGGTGCAGGTATGAAGGTCACAAGCCACTCTGGGTGTTGGTCCTTGCCTTCCACCTGTGTGAGACAGGAAGGATCTCTTTTTTGTTGTTCAGAACTTCATAAGCCAGGCTAATTGGCCCATGAACTAGAAGGGGTTCTCCTGTCTGAATTCCATCTTCCAATGGGAGCACAGGATTACTTGTGTGCATGCCTGAATTTATATGGGTTCTGGGCATTCAAACTCAGGTCTTCACGCTTTAGCTACTGATTGCTTTACCCACTGAGCCATCTCCCTAACCTGATAATATTTATTGAGCACCTGTTATATGTCACACATAAAACTATGTATCTTATTTAGTGCTCCTACAATCTTATATATAACCCCATTCTCTTTTTATGAGGAAATGGGATAAACAGGGTGAATTCATTTGGCTAAGGCCACACAAGCCAATAAATAGCCTCTGAAGCGTCAGTAAGTCATCTGATTTGCAGTTTGAGCAAACTCATTTATGGGTGGTGGGTATTTTGTGGTGATTATAGTATTTTGAAAAATGAAGCTTGCCTTCTAAAGGTTTGAGCCAGCTAAGACATTTCTGTTGTGACTTTACTGGTTGAAACTTTTTTTGTTTGTCTGTCTTTTTTTTTTTGAGAGAGAGGGTCTCCCTGTAGCCCCAGCTGGATTGAAACTTACTATGTAGACCTGGCCTTGATCTCACAGATATCTGCCTGTGCCTGTTACCCAAGTGCTGGGATTAAAGACATATACTACCATGCCTGACCTTGCCCAACTTTTCAAAATGTGTATAAACTAATTCTTGAGGTGACTAAAACATGCTTGTCATTTTACAGATGAAGAAACTGAGGCTCAGGGTGGTCAGGTCTGAAGGCCCTCAGCTCTTAAATGGCCAGTTAGGAGACCTTCTGAAGACTGTCTCCCAAACTTGCTATGTGACATCATGCTGTCTTCACTCTCGCCTTTACTCAGTCCTTAACTTGTCCATGACCACCATTTTCCTATATGGCTTCACTAGAAATAGTGTGTGATTTCATTCCAAATTAAGATGTGGACTGCATGGCTGGCTAATGTATCATAATTGTAATAATAATCCCTCATTATGTGGTTGTTGCTTCTCCAGAAGGCAAAAACACTACAGGTTTGACTTTTGTCTTAATCACTTATAGTTATGAATTTGCCAAATGAGAGCCAGTGGGATGAAACTACCTGCAACTCTGTTGCTTGTCAGCATCCGCAGTGCTGGGCAGCTCTCCGCAGGATTGAGAGGGGCCATCCTCGGATCCTGGACCCGTCAGTCAAAACTCCTCAGGATGCTGAAGGTAAGGATGCTGAAGGTGTATTACCTTGCCTCTATCTTCTTCCTCAGGAAATGCTTAAACTGTTTCTGTTTGGCTCCAGGCAGGGGGCTGCATGATTTATTCTGGTCTGCTTCCTTAGATAAACTTCCGACACTCACCATTGTAAACATCAGTGATACCTGCTTGTGGGCCAAGAAGAGAGTTACTTATCCACAGTCATCGGAATACACTTTCCCTAAGGAGCGTTCTTTATTGTCCAAACTTGAGTCCAGATGTCAAGGCAGGTAAATTATTACGGACTCTTTCCTTAGAGGACTGTCTCAAAACTTCAGACTTTGATTTCTCTTATCCATGCAGTTGTCTCAGAGAAAGTGAGATTTAAAAGAAAATATCAGGGGTTGGGGATGTAGAACTGTGGTTAGGACCCTTTGCTCAGCATGTATGAGACCTTGGGTTTGATCTCCAACATTGGCAAAAACAAAGCGAAACAGAATAGCCAAAGGTCAATAGTGAACACATAGTGAAACCAGAAGGAAACACTGTGTTGTGTTCTAGGAGGTGGGTAATTTGGGACTGTGCTGCTTTGCTGTGACTGCTGTTATACAGAATCATAGCCTGGGTGGCTTAGAGTGGGAATCACTGTCCCAGAGTTCTGGAGGCTAGACATTTGAGGTCAAGGTATCAGGTGATTTTCTGCCCCTTGCCTGGGCTTGGAGATAGTATCGTTTCCCTCTGTCTTCATATGGCCTTGCTCTTTGTGTGTCTTCATTCTAATCTCATTTTACTACACATCAGTCATGTTGGATTAGGGCCCACCTATATGACCTCATTTTACCTTAATTATCTTTTAAAAGACTATCTCCAAATATAGTCACATTTTGAAGTACCGGGGTTAGGAACTCAACAAATGAATTTTAGGGGGTGGGGGGTTTAGCCATCTTAGGGCTGCTCTGTCAGCTTTTGAAGGGCATCAGAAAACTACTGTCTTTCTTATCTTTCTGGGTTGGATATGAAACTACTTGTGAGCTCCTGGAGGCCGAAACAGTGGCTTTGTTGTTTATTTAATCTCTTGAAAAATCCAGGCACTCAGTTTGGCTGGTACATGAAACTAAGGGACAAGTGTCTGTGAAGACTTAGATTTACAAGGAAGAGCCTACCTGGAGTCCAAGTACTAGTGCCCCTGTGGTGATTTCCTTTCCTAGTCCATGTCAGCAGTCTACTGCTTGTTCTTAGGCTAAAGCTAATGCAGGAAAGACTCAGATTATTTTCTGCTTCTCTAGGACCAGAACCCTGGGAAAAGCCTAGGAACCTCCAGCCAGGACCTGCTTCACCTCTGCGCATAGGCAGGGAACGCACTTGGGCTCTTGCCTGGCCCAGGTGTGAGTGTGCTGTGACAGAGCTGCCTTATGGTCAGCTACTGGTCTCCACCCCCTTTCCATCCACGTTCTTGTTTCTTGCCTTGGCCTCTACCCTAGACTAGTTCCTCATTACCTTGAATGTGGGCTTTTGAAGTGCTCTCCTGCCTCTCCCCCCTCGAAACAGCTTTACATTTTGACCAACAGATTAAGCATCCAGAAATAGAGCTTTGCACATGTCTTTCCCCACCCCACCCTTTCATTTACTAGAGAGTAGATTCAAATGTGTCCATTCTAGACTTGTACAGTCTCTGTGTTACTGGGCTTGTTTCTACTCAGAGTCCTTTCTCTCTGATGCCAACTTTCCCTCTGAGCCAAACTTTGTACATGTACCTTCTCCAACCTTAAACGCTCCCTTCCTTCTCCTCTGATTCCTCATTAAGTCCCCTAGTATGGCTTGTACTGCCATGGAGGATCCTGCCTTCCTGATGAACTTCCTCTTGTGTTTCTTAGGTTCCAGCCACACTGTTCTTTCTGTTCCTCACATACCCTATACTTCTCACCTCCAGTTCATGCACCTTCAGTTTGCTTTAAGTGGAACAGTTATTTCTTTAGAGTTTTGCAACCCAGCACTACTGACACTTTGTGTCAGACAGTTGTGTGTGTCATTGGAAACTGAACTTCCTTCCTGGTCTCTGCTCACTGCATCCCAATACTGTTCTAGTTTGCTTTTTTAGTTTTGTCTAGTTTGCTGTGATAAAACACTCTGACCAAAACAGCTTGTGGAGGAAAGGGTTTATTTGGCTTACAGGTTACAGTTGCTCACTGAGGGTAGCCAGGGCAGGAACTCAAGGCAGGAGCTTGAAGCAGAGACCAGGGAGGATTGCTGCTTACTGGCTGGCTTCCTCTGGCTTGCTCAGCTACCGTTCTTGTACAGTCCAGGCCCACCTGTCTATGAATGACACTGCCCACTTTGGCTGGGCCCTCCTCCATCAGTTAGTCATTAAGAAGATGCTTCACAGACATGGCCACAGGCCAATCTGAGGAAGGAAATCCTTCGTTTGAGGATCCTTCTTCCCAGATGACTCTGTGTCAAGTTGATAGGTAAAGCTAATTATGACAAGTCCTACCTCACCTGCTGTTGTAACAACCCCAAACAGACATTGCCAAATGTCTCTTGGGGGTAAAATTGTCCGTTGTAGAAAACTGCCTTAGATCCTCCTGGGGCTGATTCCTTCTTGTCATTCAAGTTTGAACTTAAGAATTGCTTCTTCATAGCGGCTTTCTTGACTGCCCTATTTAAAATTTCCCAGCATACACCTTTGCCACCGTTTAACTTTGCCTCTTTTGTTTTGCATCCCCATCTGAGAAGCCTTTTGCTGAAGTGTTTGCCCTGTCACCACAAAACACAGCTCTACTTCAAAGGAAACGAGAGTTCATTCTTGAGTCAACAGGGAGTGACCATGGCTCAAAAACACAGATTTAGGTTGCCCCAAATAACATGTTCCAATATGGAAATGGTTTCATGAAGAAGTTGAAGTTACAGAATGAAAGTCATAAATCAAGGTGTTTTTCAAGGACATTGGTGAGAGTGTCTGGTAGGCAGGTTACAGCAAAGCAGGGAAAGCTTTGCATAGGTCTCAGGTGCTTTCTGGTGACATTCTTACTTAACTTTGGGGTTGATGAAAGCTAGTGATCTGTTAATACATTTTAGAAGGTTTCACCTGATGGTCGCAAGGGTCAGACACAGAAGTGGATGACAAATGGCTATTAAGGGAACAAAAGATTGCCCAAAGAGAATTTGGCTCTGGACTTGCTAACATCCCAGCCCTCAACAATCACAAAAATTCTAATAAGCCACTCAGCCTTATAGAAGCTTTAATGTTGGAGTGGCTTTTGCATGGCAAACTTCAGTTCACAGCCTCCCGCATTGATGTCAGTTCTGAGAGCAGGAACCATGTAGATTTAGCTTCTGCTCTGTCTCCTTCCTGTGCCCTCAGCAGTGTGTGGCATAGCTCGGGAACTCAGGAATGTGTTGACCAGGGGACATGGTCTCCTCTTCAAGGTGCAGTTTTACCACTTGGCACTCCCTGGGCTGTTGGTTCTTCAAATGTCCCCAGCACTGATTGTTCTGCCATGTTTAGGGCTATTTTTTATGCTAAGGTCCTAGACTTTAGACCCTTTGAAAGCAAAAGTCATGACATTGTTTATCCACTTAGGCAATTCACAAATATATCCTAGTGGGGTCACCAGGCTGGGTGCTGGGATTACAGCAGAGTTTATTTATCTCATGCAACAAGATGGTCTTTGTGCTCAAGAGGCTTTCAGCCTAGCTACGGAGGCAAAGACGTCAGTGGGCAGGGCTCTCTAGTGTGTGGTGTCTCAGGAGGTCTCCTAGCTGGGGGTATGGAAGCATAAAAAAGGTTGTCTAACCCAGTGCCCTGTCCTCTGCACGAGTAGCATTGGTTCCTAGCCCCGGAATTTGAGCAGCCTAGGGAAAGGTTTGCATGTGGGAAGTTTGTTGGAAGAAAATTCTCCACTACGAGTAGCACATGCAAAGGCCTGGAGGTACAAGAGCATTCTTCAGGTGCTGGGAAATGGAACAGGAATGAAGTGGGAGCAGAGGCGAGGCTGAGCCATAGAAAATTCAGTAGAAATTGGGAACTCTATCACATAGGACTTCATAAATCAGGCTGAGTTGGATCTTTCAATTAAAAAAATATTTTATTAATTTAATTTATTTACCAGGCTGGACTTGAACTCACAGAGATCTGCCTACCTCTGCCTCCTGAGTCCTGGGACAAAAGTTGTGCACCACCACACCTGGCAATTATTTTTATTCTATTTTATGTATGAATGTATTGCCTGCATGCATGTAAGTACACCCATGGTGTAAGTACACCATAAAATGCCTATGGAGGTCAGAAGAGGGTGTTGGATCCCTTGGAACTGGAGTTATGAATGGTTGTCAGATGCCATGTGGGTGCTAGGAACTGAACTGGGGTCCTCTGTAATAGCAGTTAGTGCTCTTAACCACTGGGTCAACTCTCCAGCCCATGACTTGGATCTTTAAAAAAATTATTTTATTTTTTATATGTATGAGTGTTTTGTCTGCATGCATGTAAGTACACCAGTACCTGCAGTGCCCATGGAGGCCAGAAGAGGGTGTTGGAGCCCCTGGAACTGGGGTTACCTGTTGTTATTAGCTACCATGTGTTGAACTGAACCTGGGTCCTCCATAAGAGCAGCCAGTGCTCTTAGCCACTAAGTCACCTCTCCAGCCCCTGGAACTTTTTTGTATAATACACATCCATGTTACTTTGATTCATAAATTTGAGAATTTTTTTTTGGATTTTTGAGACAGGGTCTCTTTGTAGCCCCAGCTGGCCTGGAACTCGCTATGTAGACCAGGCTGGCCTTGAACTCACAGAGCTCCGCCTGCCTCTGCCTCTGGAATGCTGGGCTAAAGGTGTACACCACCACACCCCGGCTCAAATTTAAGGTGTTTTAAAAGTAAATAAATGATATAAAAACAGAACAGTTTTTAAAATTGTAACTATACATAACAAAATTACAGTTTGAATAATTTTAAGTGAGCGTATGCTTCACTGGCATTAAGTACATTCACAGTGCTGTACAACTTTTCTTCAGAATCCTTTTCAGCCTTTCAAGTAGAAACTGCATGAGTATCCCCCTGGTACTCCTGATTCCTGGTAATCATTATTCTGCTTTCTGTCTCTTTAAATTTGCTGATTCTACATATTTTCTATGAGTAGAATCACATAAGAGCTGTCCTTTTGTGTCTGGCTTGTTTAATTTAGTATAGTGTTTTCTGGGTTCTCTCTCTCTCTTTCTCTCTCTCTCTCTCACATACACACATCATGTGTCAGAATTTCATTATTTTTTAAAAGCTGAATAATATTCTTTTTATTTTTATTTTATGTGTATGAGTGTATTGCTTGCATGTGTGTAAGTGCATTCATGTTGTGCAATGCCTGTGGAGGTTAGAGGAAGGTGTCAGATCTCAAACCTGGGTCCTCTGCAAGAGTAGTCAGTGCTCTTAACTTCTAAGCCATGTCTCCAGCTCAAAAGCTGAATAATATTCTATTGCATGTATATACGTATATTTAACATGAACATCTACATTAAATATCTACATTAAAGACACTTAACTTAAACTTTGTTTTTTGAGATAAGGTCTGACTATGTAGCCCTGGCTGGCCTGAGACTTGCTATGTAGACCAGGCTGGCCTCAAACTCACTGAGATCTGCCTGCTTCTGCTTAAGTGCTGAGACTAAAGGCTTGTGCAGCTATGCCCAACCTTCATAAACTTAAACATTTTTAATTACT